GGAACAGCCAGACTACGAACAGAGTTATATACATAAAGGGGCCGCAGTAATTGGCTATATAATATTTTATACGTTCATGTTTTGATATGTAATGTTCCCGCTCTCTATTCTATAGACTCTGCTTGATCTGCATGTTCAAACAGAGGTTGTCGCTCTTCACCTGTACCAGCGCGCCTGAAGTTGTCGTTTGTTGTGATAAAATAAGTAAGGCCTGCATGTATGACAAGAGAGGCACCAAGAATGTTAACCAGAACTGCCTCTGCAGGAAGATCACTATAGGATTTTCTGTAAGAATAAAAGAACATTGGTGTTAGAAGATAAAAAATCAATATTTTTTGTTGCTGCCCAAACATGTCGGAAACGTATATTTCTACTCGACAAAGTTATTTTAAACTTAAATTCATGAAAACCTCTCACATTCGATTTATAAATGTCTCTCTCACTGTTTTTCTCATCTCATTCGCAATACTTTATATAAGTCTTAATAACTATCCGTAATGTCAATAATGTCTAAAAATATATACACTCTCCCCCTATTTGATCTCGCCTCCACATTCAAAGTTGTTTGTCTCTTCCGCCCTACGGACGGGTTATCACAGATAGATAGATAGATAGATAGATAGATAGATAGATTTAATAAAATACTTCGCAGCCATAGGCTGAATTGCGTATTTTTTTTACAAGTAAATTTAACTAATTACGAGAATATAAAAGAAGAGTTTATCAAGCCATTATGATGACATTCCATATAAATATTATATATACAAGATGTTTATTACTTTAATATACTAAAAAATTTAAAATTATTAAAAATATTAGGTCATTTCAATAGCATTAGATAAATGATTTGCGGCACGAAGCCACAAAAAAACTAGTTTGAAAACGATTAGTGTTACATCTAGGAATTTCAAATTTCCTATCGTTTCTTAAATCATAAAAAGAAGTATGTATAGGTGGCAGTAAACTTCGTAACTTATGATTTTCATCAGCAACTACTGCTCAGTTCCATCGGGGCTAACTGTTTGTTAAATGGCGCGTTCCAAATAGGACTTCCCTGCTCTGAGTTTTGCAGCTCTTACTACACTAAGGTTAACTACGATACTGACATTCCACTTTCCGCGATTCCTTTCGTCGTTTTGGATCAAAACCATGTCTCCTACTTTAACGCTTGCTTCTTTCCCTTTGTTGTTCAGATTGTGCAGTTCTCTCAGTCCGTTTATGTACTCTTCCATTGAAACCATACCGCGTCCTGGCACTTCGATAAATGCATTGCTGGTTTCCTCAGCTCTATGCCTTCGATATCACTAGTTTCGTCTTCGGGAAGTACAGTAGGTTAGGTTGCATAAACAGTATTGAATTTGGCGTCAGGGTAGGAAGTTGAACATCGTCCTTGACATAGCCCAAAGGCCGATTGTTAACCGCTATTTCTACATCCAGGATCACCTCTTCAAGCTCTCCCCATCGCAAATTAGCACGTCCGATGCTCTTGTTTTGTGCTCTTTTTACCAGGCCCATCATCCTTTCAAACTGGCCTCCCCACCTCGGAACCCTGCTCAGGTTGAACTGCCAATTTTGACGAGCGAGGAAGTTTTGAAACTGTTCTTGTTTCATTACCTTTCTTATATAATTTGCTGCTGCTTTGAAGGTTTTTCCGTTATCCGAATAGATCTTCTTTGGTCTGCCCCTTCTCGCTACGAACCGCTTCAGGCTCCGGATACAATCTTCCGCCGTCTGATCCGGAAGAAGTTCCTGCTAAATAGCACGAGTTAGGCTGCAGGCAAACAAGAGAATGTACGCCTCGCCAATTCTTTCTTGCTAGATCTATAGGTAATAGGACAAGCGTAAACTATGCCCAGGACTTCGAATGGCACTGATCCGACTGTTCGATCTGTGGGTAAGGGGCCGACAGGAGGGTGTTGAAATGTGGAAGTATGGAATTTCTTGCAGCCATAACAGTTCCTTATATGACTTTCTTGCTTAGCTGTCTCAGCCGAGGTTGTTGATCCCACTCCCTCGTGAAGGCTTTGAACATGGGCGTTGTGAATGATTTTGTAGTAATGAGCGCAATTGGAGGCAGATATGTCGGGAAGTTTCCTTGAATTCGTCCACGGCATTCGTATAGGCCATCAGAATTTCGTTGCAGGTTCAGCTTCAACTTATCTTCTTTGAAATGTTCCGTTTCACTTTGTGCTTCGGTCGCTCTTTTCACCCAGAACTGAACCCGTTGCTTCCGTTTCAGCTGTCGTTAAAGGCCCATATGTCCGTTCAGCCTTAGAAGACTTGCAGTTACATATAAATCTGACAATCCACGCGAAGACACGCACTGCCTTCCAAAAGCTCTGATTCTCTAATAGCTCGCCCAGCTCATCCGTCGCACCTTCTATTAACCGTGGTCGCACACACGGCGGTTACCAACGGTTCCGCTTTGGTAGGCTTCGCTTCAGTTTCAGACTCTTTGCTAGGTTTGTTATGTATGTCAGCTGGCCATTCATCGGGTTTTGACAGCCAACCTGGTCCTGTTAGCTTCCCAGGTCGGCTGGGTTCTCATCCGTTCACACTTGTCTCCAATTGATATATTCCTTGGCGTTAATCTTCTTGACTCTGTTTAAAACAAATTGCTTGTATGCGCCACGTCCTTTGATCCAGTACAGGGCCACTGTACTGTCCAACTATTTAGTGAAATTGATGAAAACCTCTCACATTCAATTTATAAAAGTCTCTCTCACTGTTTTTCTCATCTCATTCTGAGCCCCCGATCTTAGTGCCCGCGTGCTCTTTTGTTCACAATATCTTATATAAGTCTTAATAACTATCCGTAATGTCAATATCTAAAAATATCTACAAGCATGTTTATCAGCAGATTTGTGTCGTATCGTGTGTTGTACCTTTCTGTATTGTGCTGTACTTGTACTCTATACTGTAATTTATTGTGGTTTGATGTTTTGTACTGTAATAAACTCTCCATGTTGCATTCAACTTAACTGCACTGTACTGTGGTGTTCGTTTTATATCGTATTCAACTTTACTACACTGCAATGCAATGTGCTGTTCAAGATGGATATGAAATTTCAATGAAAACTATACCCTGAGGTACTTACTTGATTGTCCAAAGGGCCTTTTCAGTAATACCAGTCAAACAGGCTGCAACTGCCATTAAGAATATGGATGTACCAAAAAACACATGTACTTGTAGATATGCTGCTCTGAGTGCATCAGGAAACTTAGGATACAGGAAGCCCAAGAATCCACAAACAAGCTAAAAGGTAATAAAAAAGGTAAGATTTACGACTGAACAGGTCCTTGGATTGATAAACGCTTTCGGTACTTCTATTTACGTGGTCAGATCAGTTAGAGAAGAATTTCAGAGTAGATCGTACTAGACTATCTAGGGCCAACCTGGCCAAAATCGGCATCTACCTATTGGATAAAAAAATTTCCAGTTGGACCAGTCTCAAACAAAATACTAAAATGTTGTAGTCCATTTAGGTGATTTAACAGTTCGATAGATGCGACTGGTCTGACTCTGTTGAGGGAAAGCGGTCATTGTCAATAATAATGGATCTTCAGTATTTGTACAGGTATTTGAAGGTGTCAATTTAAGTAAAATGCAATTAGGTTAACTAACACAAACAAGAAAGATCCATGTCACAACCTATGGATCCTATAGAGCGTTTGCACGCATTCCCCAGGGACCAACTCAACAAAAGCCATAGCAGCCATGTTGGTATTCCAGACAAAAGAATCTAATTAAAATTCTTTTGAATTGGAACACCAACATGGCGGCTGTGACGTCATGTGCAAACGCTCTATTTATCTCAATGCTTTTAAAAAGACTGTGGAGCGAGCGCATTGATATCACAAAAATCGAAACGTGACAATAAAACAGAACTAGACTACCATACGGACTATAACTCTGCACGTCAGAGATGCATTAAATTCAAGTCACAATTTATGGCGCAAAAGTATAGCCTGTTAATTTACTTATTATGGTGTACTTATCATGCAGTCAGTATCGACACTGCATAACCTTCAATATGAATATGTTTAAATAAGAGAAATAAGATTGAACTAAAATTACTGAATAATGTGAATATTGAAAAAGTGATATACCTGACAGGAAAATAAAACAAAAGTTGTCATTCCAATCCAAGAATGCAAAGAGTACAGGTTGGTAATATTGTTGTCATTGTGAAAATCAAAAACTGCTTTCAAACCAAGAACACCAAAAGCAAATGCAATCGCCTGGATAAACATGTGCAGCAATTTAACTTTCGCTTTACTGTCGTTGCTGAACACTCGATAAGCTATCATTGCTAAAAAACAACACAAAAAACATGTTTATAGCCAATATAGGAGATAAAATCAATTACATGTTTTATACTGTAGCTGCAATTACAGTCATTACACAAGATATACCTCACATGGGGCAAACTCAAAGCAGTTAAATTTGTATAAAAATAAGTTGTAGATTAGGTCACACAGCTATAGGTTTAAGTCCAGTGGCGTGGTGGCCATGCCCCCAGCGATGGTTTCAAGAGGGGCACCGAAATGCCTGGGCCTGGATTAGTATGATCTATTTTATGACTAGAAAATACATGCATGCAGAAACCCTCGCCTTGCTGACAAAACCATTGTATTTTCCGAACATGAAATATCTAAAGTAGTTGTCATGGTAACACGATAATTTTTTAAGAATATTCTTATAATTATAAATGAAAAATCGCCTAAAAATATCACTTTTAATTAATTACAAAATTATCAATTTCCCAACATATATATGTTAGGTATGTTATTATACGTAATATAAGCTTCAATTTAAGGTAAAATTCAACCACAAATGCTCCGCAAAACGTTTTAAAGTGTTCTTTATAAAACTAAACTGCCTTTAATTAAATGGCTTTATCTATAAACTTTGTCTTTGAGTTTGCAATAAAATGATTTCAAATTCTCGCATACAAATAACTTTACTTTCTTTTTTATTTAAAAAATTCAATATAATAAAAAAGGGAATCAATATTAAAGATACACTGAAATTATATGCTGTCTTGTTTAGTTGTTTCATATACGCAAAGCCCACAAAGGCCGTCGGGTTTTAAATCCATTATAAAATCAATATTTAAAACAAACTTACCTTCGTTAACGTCGGCTCCCTTCTTTTAGCCGATTCTTTCGCCCTTTCTTTATGAGAAAGCTTTTGAAATTTACAAAATCTTGCAAAAATGCGAGCAAAAGTGAAATATATTTGCAAAAAATTTATCAATCATCAAATCACAAGAATACGAAAGGTACAGCCACAGAGTAGAGACATACAGAGACGTAACTGACCGTTGTAAACACTGCGGAAGCTTACGTTTTCATGTACCCACTTTTTTTCAGGCGACCGGGCAAAAATGATCAACTGCGCGTGCTCAGCAAGTTTAAAGTAAGTCGTCATCAGGTCGTCATCCAATCAGATGCATGCATCTAGTAACTTGCCGAACATGCGCACAAGAAAAGTGGGTACACTAGTTACGTCTCTGCATGTCTCTACTCTGTGGTACAGCAGACGTAATTACGTCCACGAAAATTTTAACTCGCTCACGCCATCCTGGCTAGTACAACCGGAAGTTTTTATCAGGTTTTGGTAGGTGCAAAGTGCCGGTTGTACTAGCCAGGATGGCGTGATTGATGACGAATCGCTTGTAAAAACGCGGACAAATACTTGCTTGAGTTACACTTCTGCTGTAACTTCCTATTCTGTGATCAAATCAAGAAATGTTTGCTATTTCGCTGTCGTCATGCAGTCGTTATAATGCAAACTTTAAATTGGACCAATCAGTGTCCGCTATTCATGACAGTCCGCCATATTTTTGAGATCAGTGAGGATGACCCAGTGAACTCTAATAATAACTGGAAGGCTAAGTCAGGGGGGGAAGTTGAAGCCGTGCTTGAAGCTTTTTTTGTAGGTAGACCCAGTCCTTTTTACATTTTTTTTTCAAAATATGCACATTTTTTGATCAGAAAAATCTTGCCCCAAAATATTAGTAATACTACCAAATTTAATTTATATCAGTAGTATTATAAATGAATTTAATATTCGCAAAGCAAACAAATCACGTATTAGCAAAAAAATACGAAAAAACACGGCCATAAGCATGGACGGTCAGAAAAACCGCGCGTTTTAGGCTGCTTTTTCTGAGTTTTTGGAAGTTTAAGATAAAACTAAGACGTCATACCTCAGGAATTTTTTATACCCATGCAAAATACATCTGTATGCGAAGTTTCAAGAAAATTGAACGTTTTAAGGTCGAAAAAAAAGCATTTGAAAATTGACAAAAATATTGCCATATTCAAAGTGCTCATAGTGGCCAACAAGATGCCGATGACGAAAATAACATCACTTGAAAAACGCCAATTTATTTATGTTTAAGAGCGACTAAAACAAGGACTAAAAGCTCAGGATCAATAACAATACCTGGGGTTTAGTACAACATAAGTTTTGGGACTGTCAAAATGTTTTATAGTATATATTTTTGAGTTGAACGGCGAGATTTCCTTCGGCACATCCAAACTTTCGTCATTTTTTCAAAATACAAAAGCAAAATTCCTTACTTTTTGCTGCAGAGAGATGTAAAACAGTCGGAACTAATCGGAAACTTGGTTTAAATCCCAAGTCATTGTTGTATTCCCATGGGAAAAGTGTTTTTCTTGCAAATTTTTGCTCGAAAACAAACTTTTGACAGAATTTTTTTCACTCCTCGAAACTCTCCTTAGTCCTTTTGAAAGCTGATTTTCCCGCGCGCCGGCTTCAACGAATCATAGACTTTCATCATAGGAGTTAGCCTTCCAGTTATTATTAGAGTTCACTGGGATGACCACCCATCGTTGGTCACCCACGCCCGCGATAATTGATGAACTTTAGACTTGGCTAATGCTTTCGTTTCCCCGGGTGTAAATAGCCGGGGGGGATTAGTACCCTCGCACGGCGGATTATTAAAGTTGATCTATTTTGTGATTATTAAAATTGTGACGTTGAGACCCAACACGTCAGAATATTCCAGACTTTTGATGTTACATTAGACACAATCTATTTCTTCTTTTCGTAGCTTTCTTAAAATGCGATAAAGAACGTCTCATCAACTTGTATGCAGGGCTTTCTCCCGAACTGTCAAAAGCTCTACTTTGACTTGCATTTGGTTGTCTTTTAAAACTTACATGTGATACTATGCTCAATTTGCATAAACTATAGCTTATATGTAGTCTATACGTTATTGACATTGACCTGGAACAAAATTACGTTGTCTCATTATCGGCATATGATAGTAAAAATTGCATTATAGTATATTATATTCGTTTATAATATGCTACAACAACACCTGACTAACGTTGTTTTAGACTGGTACTTGGTAGTAAACTGTTGCACAAAATGTGTTCTCAGAATGCTGGAAAAGACCTAGATTTAAAAAAATTCTGGAAGAGCATGCCCACAGATCCTTCTAGGTCCCTCGTGCCTACGACACTCGATGTGTACAATCGCACTAATTTTAGGGGCGCAAGAATCGAGATAACTCTTAGCCTTACGGGAGACGGATCTAATACTGGCCCCCCTTGAAATTTTCGAGCCACCACGCCACTGGGTTTAACCCATTGAACACTGACAAGCATATACTCTCTTGTTGAATAAAATCGTCTGGCGTTAGACAGAGTAAAATATAAAGTTGGGCACATTGGGATGCAATGCGACTTTATGAGTTAACTGGACACGTGAGCAGATTATCCCATTGAACACCAATGAGACCGTGGGCGCAATTCAACTTAAACGCTTTCCTGAATGTGTTCACGTTCCAGAACGTGTTCCAGTTATATTTGTGTTGAAATCACCAACGGAAATTATCGTAATCACAAAACCACAAATAGTCGGGGAACATAGCGAAACTTTCACAGTATGCAGAAAGCAAATTATCGGAGTCTTTCCGATCAAGAGGAGTTAAGATAACAACATATAAGAGTTAATTAATATGCTTTTTTAAGAGGAAATTAAAGCATTGAGAATTAGTGCGATAAAGCGTTCCGGAACATGTTTATAACTCGTTCGGAACAAAAATAGAACATGAATGCAGTGTTATTTCGGCAGTACTCAAGTACTGCCAAACTTAAAGGAATTAACACTACATTTTGTCTTAATATCCTTCGGGAGATTGTTCCATATTTTAATGCTACTGACCGTTACAGATTTTCCTCCCTCAGTTGCATAATTAAATTTAGGACAAACTAAATTATATTCGCCATGACGAGTTTGTCTACCATTAATTTCATTGTTTGTTTTAAATAAGTTCTTAATATACTGCGGAGCTTGATCATGCAGGCTCTTGTAAACTAGAGTAGCTAGCTACATTTGTTAATTTTAACTTCGTCATAAAAAGGTATCCAGTTCAGTTTATTAAAATTGGCCATTGACCTGGAGGAAGTGTCAGTTCCTAAAATTACCCGAGCTGCTCTTTTTTGTAATTTAATTAAAAATTCTAAGCAGATCATTTAGCGAGCAGCAACTCCAAATAGAACTACCGTACATTATAACTGGCTTGACGACAGCGTTGTAAAATAGCTTTCTCACAAGTAGTGATAAGTATCTTCGTATCTTTCTCAGCAGGCCGATTTTTTTACTAAGGTTTTTACTAAGTTTGGTTATATGCTCTTTGAAAGTTAAGTCTTCATCAATGATTACACCATTATTATTATTACACATTTATCATTACGTAATAGACCTTATGCAAAATGACGTCACAAGGTTTGATGCCCGCGAGGAATGCTGGTCTTAATAGTCATCGCCCGGGAAAATTAAACAATTCAAAATGGCCACTATCGAAATTTTCCCGGGCGATGACTACTAAGACCAGCATTCCTCGCGGGCATCAAGCCTTGTGACGTCATTATGCATAAGGTCTATTGATTAATAATTGTTCATGTTATTAAAAAAGATACTATTGTTGTTTGTTAGTTGTAAAAGTTGTAATAATATCGAGTTACATATAATAGGGAGCAGAGACTCATTACCATATTTGGTGATAAACTGACCAATCACAGTAAAACGCTATCTATGTAAATAGTGTATAAATCTTTAATCTTCTTTAATCAATCTTTAATATTATTATTATTTTTATTATTTTCATATTTGAATGTTAAATAGTGTATAAATCACTGTAAAACTGTTAGTTGTACAGTATTCTGTCTGTCGTGTGAAATAAAACTGTATAAAACTTATGTGAAGTTGAATTATTATATTATGAAGAATGGCAACTGCCGTAAACCCAACAGATTATGGGCCCAGAAGGGGAATATTATTTAATTAACGGCGATGAGAGCAAATACGAGCTGTGGGAAGTTAAGTTTCTAGCGCAGATGAGACTGCAAAAATTATACGAGGTATTTGTGCCGGGTGATAAACAACACGAAGCGCCGAAGAAAGCGGATGCTTTCGCGGAGTTGGTTCAATGCCTACACACGTAAAAACGCACAGCTTGTAACAAGTCTGCAAAAAAGTCGTTACAAATCTGTTCACAAGCTTTCAACAAGTTGTGTTCGCACTGCTTGTTCCCAGTTTGTTGTAACAAGTTTGGAACAAGCTGTTAACAACTTGTAACAAGCTTGATGGCATTATCAGACTTGTTACAAGACTGTGCTAACAAGTTTGTTACAGCCATGATATAACAAGGATGTTACAACGTTGTCAACACAAGGTTGTAACAATCTTGTTATATCAAGCATGTAACGGACTTGTCAAAACAACCTTGCAACAAGTTTGATAATTTTGACAAGGTTGTTACAAGTTGTTCCAAACCTGTTGACAACTTGTGACAAGCAGTGCGAATACATCTTGTTGACGGCTTGTTGGCAGACTTGTTACAAGATGCGAGATTTTTGCGTGTGTAGACGAGCGAAGTCTATCCCTTGTATTAAAATACGATTAAACGACGACGGAGAAAGAGCGCTAGAAGTATTGAGGCGCCATTATCAATTTACTAGCAAAGGTTAAGCTTTATGACGTCAACGGAAGATCACATGACATAATCTTAAAAAACGCGCTGTATGTACCATCTAAACAGGTTATCTCTTCCGTATTAAAGGCAGCAGTGGAGGAGAGCGGCAGTATAAGTCTTGATAGGCATGCTAAGCAGTTTAGAAACTCAGATGGCACTGTTTTTAATATAGAGCAAGTTGGTCGTTTGTTTTATTTGAATAGATTTCATCTTCGAGAAATAGTGCGTGTACTCTTTATACAGAGTGGCACAGGATCCTAGGACATTGTAACTTACTAAGGGGATATACGTAAACTAGAAAGCGTTGTAAAGAGAATGAAAATCTCAAGTTACGATGAGATTGAAAAGATATGCACACAAGGTAAGATGACACAGTTGACAGAAGGGCAAAAGCCCCATTAGAATTGGCGCAATCTGACCTTGCTGGATCTGTCAATCCAGTAGGTAAAGATGGTTTTAATTATGCCTTATTTTTCGTTGATGATTACGCTGGTATAATCATGATATATTTTCTCAAACAAAAATCTGATACACTGAAGTAACAAAGCAATTCTTAGCGGATATTGCTCCTCCCATTGGTATGATAAAGTGTATCAGAAGTGATAATGGTGGAGAATTTGTAAAATGGGAATGCCGAGAGAGCTTGGCTAAGCCTATTCAATATGCAAAATGCTTGTTGCTGGAAGCTAATTTGCCTAAAATGATGTGGATGTATGCTGTAATGGCATCAGCATACATAAGGAATCAATGCTTTAACGACAGGCTGGGTAAGACCCCTTACGAAGCTCTAACTGGTTTAAAGCCCAATTTAAGTAACATGTATGTTTTTGGTGTGGTATGCTATGCTTATGTGCAGAATGCTAAAAAGCTGGAACCCAGGAGTAAAGAAGGAATTTTTGTGGGATATAACAAAAAGAGCCCGGCTCCAAAGTGAATGAAGCAGAGAACGATGCCTTTTCAAGGTACCCAACTAGAGCTCGAAACAAACCTTCTTATCTAAGTGAGTATGTTGTTGAAAGTGTTGTTGACAATACTATAAACCATTCTGTAGATTATTGTTTTAGAATGAGTGATGTTCCGATCTCCTATTCAGAAGCAGTGAGTTCCCCAGAGGCAACAAATTGGAAAAGAGCTATAGATGAGCCTGAGGTAGACTCATTAGTAGGCAGGGCGCCTGTTAGTAGGTAATGAAACTTTTACATGTGTCCCACTCTCACAGGACCGTGTGATAGTGGGGGGCATGGGTCTACACAGTTAAGACTGGTCCCAACAATGAGGAAACCTATAAGGCTAGGTATGTAGCCAAAAGTTACTCCCAAATCTCTGGCGTAGACTATCACGAGGCGTTTGTCCCTACAGCCCAAGTGAGTTCAGTTTGTGTGTTGATGCAACATGCAGTACAAAATAATATGCTTGTGCATCAGATGGATCAAGGATGTCAAAATGGCATATTTGAATGCACCTATTGCAATAGACCTTTCCCCTATGAGTGAAATTTTGATCTAGATACGCCTGGACAAAAATTTCATCACAGCTTGAAAGAGCATCACAAAATTAGTAATATTCCGAAGTTTCGTTGCGAAATGTTGTAAAATGCGGATAATATAGCCTTGCTAAGTTTGCCGTTTTTCAGTCATTTTGCATTACAAACGGGAAATTGATAATCAGATGATCAAACTGATTATCAATTTCCCATTTGTAATACAAAATGACTGAAAAACGGCAAACTTCGCAAGGCTATATTATCCGCATTTTACAACATTTCGCAACGAAACTTCGGAATATTACTAATTCTGTGATGCTCGTTCAAGCTGTGATGAAATTTTTGTCCAGACTTGTCTAGATCAAAATTTCACTCAAAAGGGGAAAGGTTTATTGATTGTGATATTTTTGTTGAACAACTGAAGGGTTTATATGAAAAGGAAGGAGAAAATGGTGAAAAGCTTGTCTGTAAGCTAAAGAAATAGCTAAAGGATCATTTGAGTAATCGGTTAAAATGAAGGATCCGTTGGTATCATAGCCTGTATTACTCTGTGCACAGGCTATTGGTATCATGGAAGAGTAGGAAACAACAAACCATAGCTTTGTCTCAGGGTTTCCAATAGAATTTGGAGTAGGAGGCATTTTGAAAGGAGTAGGCAGCAAAGTGGTGCCGAAGGTACCATTTGCTTGGGGGAGGGGATCCGAGGGCATTTCTTTGTGAAAATTCTGAAATTTAAACCCTCTGAAAAGGCATTTCCAGGCATTTTGCAAAGGCCCATTTCCAGTCAAGAAAAATTTGCACGGACAGAAAATTTTCCGAAAATATCATTGTTAAAAGTTAAAAATTTTCAACTTCAAAACTTAATTGTTTCTGCGGCCAATCACATTTTACAAAATTTTCTTTCTGCCAAAAATTTTCCTGAGTGGAAATGGGCCTTAAGGTTTACCTCTTACCGGTTTTGTCGTTTTATCCGAATATTTAACAAAGACTATTGTGTAAAATTTATGTTAGAAAAGCAAGAAACCTTTCCCTTAACATTTCTGCAATGAGGAGGAAACATTTTGGTTTGTAATTTGGAGAAATAACAGGCAATTGTCTAGGCTATAGATGGAGAAAATGGCCGGGTGCCGGCTTCTATTGGGAATCCTGTTTGTCTATGTGTGATGCAGACTGAGAGTATATTGCTCTTGCCGAAACTGTGCGGGAAGGAAAATTTTTGAGGCAGTTATGCTTAGACCTAAAGGTAACTTCAGGTACTTGTAAGTAATAGTGTACTTGTACTGTAAATGTGGATAACCAAGGCGCGATAATGCTAGCAAAGAACCCTAGATGTTCCATAAGAGATCCAAGCATATACAGTAGATATCAAGTACTACTTTAATATTAGGAGCAGACTGGAGCTAGGTACAATAAAGTCAAGTATGTCGACGAGGATAATATTCACCAAAGGATAATATCAAAGCGAGGATAATATATTCAAATTTTTCATTTTTAATTAGACATGACAAAGTATAGGTTTGACATATTTATAGGACATGTGAGCAAGTGGGGGTGTTAAGTAATGTGCTCTTATGCATTATGTAATTGATTAATAGTCTGTTATTCATGTTATTATAAAAGATAGTCAGTGGCATAGCCAGACCTTCATTTTTTTTTGGGGGGGGGGGAGGGGCGAAACAAACGCTGAAGGCATGAGACTGGGGGTCCTGGAGCATGCACCGCTGGGAAAATTTTGAAATCTAGAGTCCCTGAAATGTGATTTCAAGCATTTTTGGCATGAAATACTGAAATCTTGCACAATTCTGAAGATTATAAAGTACATCAAAGACATGAATTTTCCCAGACATTTCTCCTCGGGATTAAATAAGTTGGAAAAGTCACCTTGAAAAACAGGAGGAAGGGTCAGTGTCACCTTATTTCCCCTCTGGATGCTGAGGGAGAAAATCCCAATGTGACTTTGATCAGAAATGTTGCATTTAAATAATTCTAGGTTCTATATGAGACCATTTCCGCATTCTCAAAATTACGTTGCTTTTTTATACGAGATAAATATTTATGCTATGATAATGCATACATGTATTTAACAGTTAAAAATCTAAACTAAATCCATTCTACTTGGAACCAAATCTACAACTGCTTTTACAAATCAAGTTCCTCCAGTATATCGTCGTTTTCCTCAGGTCGTCTCGTACTTTGTCAGTTTCAGCTTAGAACATGTAACATGTAACCCCCCAATTGTTAGTTGTAATGATAAATTGAGTTACATATAAATGGGGAGCAGAGACTCATTACCGTATTTGGTGATAAACTAACCAATCACAGTAAAACGTTATCTATTTAAATAGTGCATATAAAATCACTGTAAAACTGTTTAATATTGACAACTAACAGTTTTTGTCGTGTAAAATAAAACTGTATAAAACTTATGTGAAGTTGAATTATTATATTATAAGGAATGGCAACTGCCATAAACCCAACACTGTTGACACATGGGCAGATAGTCTGATTAACCCATTGAGCACAAAATAACAGAGGGAGGGAGGCATTAGGGTACAATGGGGCCCCATTAACTTTCAGTAATGCTGGGGGGGGGTGGTGAATTCTTGAAGTTTCAGAGTTTGGGAATTTGTAGTTAGCATGATTACAAGAAGAATTGATCCATGCATATTATTAAATATATTACCTTGGCTGTTTAGAAAGATCATAGACACTATCATAAATACTGGATGATAGTTAAATTCTTTTCCTGAGCCATCCCAAGCAAAGCCATCAAGGTAATGTCCCGTCCAGACACCAACCATCACCAATATGGCAATTCCAAAACATTGAAGTAACGTTACCGAAAGAGCGAATGTGAGTCGACTGGAAGTCATTCTTTAAACTCGCACGATGTCAGCCGCTATCAATTTTAGAATATGTTTTGGTCCTGTGCCAGACAAGAAGTAGACTCCAACGACTAAATCGGACTGGCCGACATCGTCGGTGAGAAAAAAATACACACTTTCAAAGAACTAAGAAGTTATTTTCTCAAGAGTCAAGACAGCAATAATCGAACAAGCGGAACAACAATGAATCATCAGATTTTATCACAGGAAGCCCAGGGCCCAGGCTCTAGTGGCCCGCGCAAGGCGCAAGGTAGTCGGCATTACCTAATGAACAAAATTTTGATCCAGACAAGTCTATATAGACAAAAAATTCAGCACAGTTTGAAAGAGCATCACAAAATTAATAACATTCCGAAGTTTCGTTGCGAAATGTCGTAAAATGTGGATAATATAGCCCTGCGAAGTTTGCCGTTTTTCAGTCATTTTGTACTACGCGCGGGAAATTGATACCTTTTTTCAGAAAGCGGTATCAATTTCCCGTAATATTACGCACGGGAAATTGATACCGCTTTCTGAAAAAAAGGTATCAATTTCCCGCGCGTAATACAAAATGACTGAAAAACGGTAAACTTCGCAGGGCTATATATATTATCCGCATTTTACAACATTTCGCAACGAAACTTCAGAATATTACTAACTTTGTGATGCTCTTTCAAGTCCTGAAGGGGTAAAATGGGAACTGGCCATTTTTCCACGTTTTAGTATTTTAAAATACAATTTTGATCCGTTTTTGGTGTCTTTGGTCATGATTTTTGTTGTTAACTATATTATTCACAGCACTACCTGCGAACAGGCATATTCTGGCGTCCGGAATTCTGGGTTTTCTGATTATGCGTGTCATATGATGCGTGTCCCCAAGTCAGATGCACAGCGGAATATATGCCTGGTTTCCGGTATATACTTCATTTAACCCCTAGTATATACCTCAAAGGCAAAGCACAACAAAAAGTACCGTCATGTCGGACATATCGGAAACAAGTTACTTAATTAACCGAAGTGGTCCGAAGTAAATCCCATGTCCTCGACATGCAGTAACGGGCTTAATTCAGTGGTGCGCACACACGGTGGCTTAAAAGGTCTTAATAACGGCTTATTGACCGAGCGTGAGGTCTGTACTGTGAAATATATCAGACCGAGGTTTTTTTCAGGAGCGAGGTCCATGCAAAAAACAGAGGTCTGATATTTCATAGTACAGACCGAACAAGCGAGGTCAATAATCGGTTTATTATATGGCTGAACTGAGTCTATGAGGGGCTGTGAGCATATGCTTTTCGCGCGAATTAAATCGGCTATCGTCAGTTTCACTGGGTAACAATATACGTTAGGCATGTATGCTCAATCAAAAACAATTTGGTTGTTTGAAATTTTTATCTGTAAATTTTAATGACACACAATTGGAAAATTAAAAAGCAAAAATTTTTTCTGTTTGCAAAGCAAAAATTTTCCGCCAGATAAACAACATCCGGGACACCGATCCAGATACGGAAAATACGGACCACTGTCCGGATGTGGGTTTTTACGGACCGCTTGTCAACCAATCAGAATAGAGAATTTTGAAAAGCCATATAATAAAACTGTTTATTCTACCGATAAATAACTTTTTTATTGACAGGGATTTCAATAACTCGGACTGGGATTTCTAATAAAAATCCAACTGGGACTGGGATTTTGCCAAAATTTCAGGTGGGAAATGGGATTGGGACCCCCCCCCTTCAGGACCCTCTTTCTAGACTTGTCTACATCAAAATTTTGTTCATTAGGTAATAGGCCGGTCCGATAGATTTGGGGAAATGTACGAAAACATTAAGGAAAGTTGAACGAATAACGACACATTAACCAAAGAGAAAATATAATGTCCAGAAATATGCATTTTTTATGTTCAGCCCCCCCCCCCGGCTAGAACAATTTCGGGAAAAGAAATACTTTAATACACCCTTTCGATAATTACGTCACAACAACACTGTTTTCAACTTAGAACCACCTTAAATGGAAAGGATTTCAAGTTTTTTTCTCATGGGCTATGCACAGAGAAGCAGAACATCCTTCTTCAACACATGCGCGAAAAAAATTTTTGGATTTTGATCAATAAATGTGGAAATAAGCTTTAACACGAAAACGAGGCTCCAGGACATGTGTTGAAGAAGGATGTTCTGCTTCTCTGTGCATAGCCCATGAGAAAAAAGGCTTACGAGCCCCACAGTTTGGTGGCTCCGGCATCGAGCTCAAGCGCAATGCATTATGGTGCGTTGTACGCATGTACGTACACGGAACTTTTCCTACAGTGATTTACATGCTACCGGCCTTTCGTTCGCCTCGCACCGGCTATTTTGAGAACTTTCAGTCCTACAGTGATTTATGCTTCAGTCATAACGCTATTTAACAACATGCTATGCGACCTGCTTTCGTCAAAGTCAGTTAATTTGCGCACAACAGGCTCGAGGTTACAAAAAGCAAAAATAGTGTAACTGCTTTTAAGACTTAAAGTTAAAAGTTTTTGTCACTGTAATGCATGTCAGACACCAAAACCGAGTTTGATGTCTTCAGATCTCTATGCTAAACCTTTGACTCGTGCAAATACTGTAAGCCATAAATTACATCAAAGGCAATTTTTTGGTATAAGAATGGTGGGAATGCATCAGCCACGTCATCCTCGCCCACGTACCCAAGAAAATCCTGCAGGTTGCTGACTTGTTTGTCTCCGCTATCGGGTCAATCGGGACCGAAAATAATTTTGTAATTTCGGAAAATTAAAATTATATGATGTCCGGAAAATTGTTGGTATGTCGCCAACAATTTTGGGAAAAAATATTAATTAGCGATTGAAATGTTCTCGGCATGCATGCGTCGCAAAATCAGGTAAAAACGTTAAATTAAGTTGGATAAATTCAGGTACATCTAACCTCACCTCCAGACTCCAGTGGCGGAAATTTTGATCTTTCCTTTCGAAATCTTGATCGAAATCTTGATCGAAATCTGAATCAAGATCGAAATCTTAATAGGAAAGGCCTTCGCTTTAGACAGAGAAGGTAGGGAGCTTAAACGACATCTTGTGATACATCAGTTAGCAGATATAACATACACTATTTTAGTAGAAATGTTCAACACTAAAATACAGACAATATGAATATATACGGCTATTTCGAAGCGGCTCTATCTAACTGAGCTAAAGATCTGCAGCTGCCAGAGAGGGCCTGTAGTTGCATGTTTCGCAACTGCTCCTGGTTAGGTCTAAGGTCACTCCAAATTAGACTTTAGTTTCCCTTCCGGCCCTTATTTCAAATTACACGCGGGTGGGAGGTCATTTCTGTTATCCATTATGGTGTCTGAAAGATGAAACTGAAGACCCATTATTTCATGAAATAGATAAGCGTTTTAAATATCCATTCAGCCATGTTTCTACGCAATGTTTTAGTTTTTTGTATATATGCAGAAATGAAAGCTAATATATTAATCTTATCATCTTTTACGTTCGAAAGACGAAAATCTAAACTTGTAACGGAATTAGTGTCTAGCTCAGCAAATGGGAAAAAATTCACGCTCTTTGACAAAAGTTTCAATAATTTTATTTCGATTTTTACTTCTTGTACGTATTTTTTGAACGATAGATCATTTGAAAACTGTGGATTTTCGTTATTCTTAGTTACAAATGTCAAATAGTGGAAACAAGTTGGCAATAATGGACAAATCATGCGGCCAGTTCTAGGAGACGCGGGCGGATGATGGGAAACTAAAGTCTAATTTGGAGTTGCCTAATAAATGTATAAAATTTAAACTCGAAATTTTCACTACAAAACCGAGTGCTTATTGTGAGAAAGTTGCCGCTGTTTACAAAGGATTAGAAGAGGCGCGAAGTGTCAAAATAGACGGTGTACCCTTGGGTTTAGAGGTTTCTTGGTGCCAGGCGAGTTTTACCAGCACCGCCTGAGTGCAGGCTAAATCTGACACGCAGGAACCCCCCAGGATATTTACTTCCGGTTATCTGCAAAACACTGATCAAAGATGGCCACAAGAATTTTGCCCATTGGCTGCATTCAGAAAATCGTTCTTTACGAAACGAAGGCGGTATGTATTAAATATAATACTGATATTACAAAGCAAGCTGATAGACTTGATAGTGTAGTATAAATTGTGACTTTTAATATATTGTTTAGCGTTATTACCTGGTGGGCTCGAATACTTCGCAAACAAAGTTTCGTGTTTTGAAAATTGACAGGACTGTGCCGTATGAATTGGCAGTTATCGATGACAAGGTTAGTTTATATAGAGAATAATACATGGGTGCGTGGAGACACCAGATACCTCAAGCAAAAAGTTTGAGAGCATATTTGTTTTTGACATTTAGGGGCGGTCACTAATTCAAAATCAGAAACATCAACAGACTCAAGTTGAGGCTATTTATAGAATAAGTTGTTAAAAATATATATTTATTCGATTTTGTCAAATAATTGCCAGAATATTGTCTTCCACTGAGAAATAAAATTAATTTACCTTTAATTACCTGTGCACTTTGAGACACTCTGTGTATTATGACTGGGGATATTAAAAGAAATCGTGCTCAAATCACATCCAACTAACACATAAAGAGAAATACACCTTGTGGTAGAGGTACTAGAGGTAAATTTCTCAATAAGTCAATTTAAGACAATATTGTAGCAATCATTTAGCAATTATTTGACGGAATCGAATAAATGTATATTTTTAACGATTTTTTACGATTTTTCGTATTCGATTTACGATTATTTTATATTTACGATTTTTCGTATTTTTCAATTTTTCATTGTCAATGTTACTCTCAATAGGATTTTTTTTTATATTACTATCAGACATCGAGTGCCATTGTAGCCTGCATGGCAGGCGGTCCCTAAAATCGGGCAAGCCTGGGAAATACCCATAGAAATATTAGACATAGAATGCGTGCTCCTATCTCTTCTCAGTAAAAATTTTGTCTCCACAAAATGGCGGATTTATAAGGGCATTTTGGCTAGTCCCAGACTCCTGCGGCAAGGAATTTCGCGCGGTTGCCGGGAGTGCGAATTGTTTTTTTCAACAAAGTTTGCAAAAACAATTATATCGAAACTTGAAGTGGAAAAAAAGTGTTTTTAATGGAGAAAAACCCATTCCCGTGGTTTTTTTTACGAAAAGCTAGAGTTCTGAACAGAATATATACAGAAATCGTCGTTTGAAAATACATTTTCAACGTTGTTGAGCAAGCCAAAACAAAACACGAAAAATCAAGACAAACTCAAACTCAATAGGTATGTTTTAAAAAATATATTTCAACTGTTTTATAATATAAATGGTGTTGAATAATCTTTTTAAACTTACACAACTACTTTTTATATTTTTTTATACGTTGCTTGAGCTTGAGGCAACGCTTTTGAAACTATGTTTTTGACGACCATTTAGGCGATTTACAGTTTTAATATCGACAACAAAATATTTTTGTTTCAAAAACATGAAAACACTTTGTTTAGATTGAAGAAAAATGAAACCAGACGAAGAATGAACTATCATTTCGTAATTTCATAAAGTATTAGCAAAACAGTTTATACGTTCAGAGCAAGCAAAAATGTTTTATGAGTAAATTATATTTTATACGCGAAACTACACAAAAAACTATTTGTTTTTTATACAAGCTGCACGATTTTCATGGCCGTTTTGTAACGGCACATTTGCTTTGAGCCTTTAAGGAACTTACTATTTCAAATTATATCCCCAAACTACAAATACAAAACGTTTTGATGTTGAAAACTTTATAGTTTTAGCTTTGTTTATACTTTGTAGTTTGCACTCCTGCTCAAATTCAACATGGCGGATTTATAAGGGCATTTTTGTTTTCAATTTGGACACCGGTCACGTGACCAAGCACGCATTCTAGGTCTAATATTTCTATGGAAATACCGCCTGCTGGGTTTGGCAGACTGAGTGTAATCGAATTCCCCATCCACCAGTGGATGGGAATTGATGATTGGCTGCAAGTCTGAGCCGCTGTCACTCAAAAGTGAATACGCTTTTAATATGTCACGGCACTATATGAACGCTTCTCGAAAGTCGAAACGCGACTAAACTGATTGTCAAATCTCAAACGCGAGCAAGAGATAGCAGTTAAAGATTTACTCCTTGTAAAGAATTTTTTGGCCGTTCTACCTACAGGTTATGGGAAAAGCTTGATTGTTCTTCGCGCAAGAAAATATATATAAACAAGAATAAATACAGACCGCCGTAGAGTCTATTGCAACGGGTTTAACAGGACTACTACACCTTGGCCTGTTAGCTGCTTCACTTTCTGAACTCTTTAAGGCTAGTTTCTTTGACACACGGCTTCGTTATGGAGACGAGACAGTTTATATTGGCAACCGACGTTTTTATACAACAGTCTATTTGTTCGATACATACACAGGCAACACGTTTATGTCTCATTTGATTTTAATGATATGGTGGCAATCAGTTCGCTTGCGTTTCGGATCTTTCGCCCACACAGCTTACAAACCCGGTCGGATAGTTCTGAGGTAGAACTAACTTCGATTCCTAAATGAAGTGAACACAATTCGTGATTGGCTTATTGATCGCCAAGGTTTTGCCACTGTCATATTAATTCTTTTGCTTGCCTTAAATATAAATCTATTGCCCCGTGTTTTAGTTTCAAAGCACACTTAATACACAAACGACAGTGGTCATTTACATTTTCCGTGCTTGCTTTTCTACCTCTTGTCGTTATTCAGAAGTCCTGATTGAAACTTTCAATGGCGTTTCTTTCGACATATTTTATATTTGCAATTTTGCGACGCCGACCAAACAATAACATAGTTTGAGCGTTTGACAGTTTGATTATTAATATATTTAGTGTTTGCTGATTGGCTAATTGGACCCAGACAAAAAAGTGGGCGGTTATCAAATTACACTGCCAAACCCAGCAGGCGGTATTTTAGACCACCTGCCATGCAGGCTAGGGCCATTGGGAAGAATACTATATTAAGTAATCAATGTAATCTCTCAATAAATAAAGTTTTATTATTATTATTATTATTCTCTCGAATTTAATCAATATCGCCGGCAAGAATGATAACATACAACTCTCAAAACAACGATGCTTTAATCAAAGAGCTTAAATTCGCTTCAAAATACTCGAAGGAACGAGAAAATTCGGCCAAAATACATCCGAGGCATGTAGGAGAAAACAGTTGAATATGTTGGTCAATCAGTGGCTTAACAAATTCCTGTTTACTGCACAGCACCTACATGCCTCGGATGTATTTTAGGCGAATTTTGTCGTTCCTTCGAGTATTTTGAAGCGAATTAAGCTCTTTGATTAAAGCATCGTTGTTTTGAGAGTTGTATGTAATCATTCTTGCCGGGGATATCGATTAAATTCGAAAGAAATGCATTTAAAGTCGAAAAATGGAAGAAAGTTTTAGGCGCCGTATGTGCCGAACTTGTGTCGGCACACTAAAACTCTCTTATTATGTTTTAGTAAAGTTTAATAAACTATAAAAACTCCCACTTTTTACACAAAACTCTCGCTCACAAAGTCTCACATGTTCGTTGTTTTTCCCGATACTCAGGTCGCCCGCGAACAGGCTTGTTACCCACAGGTAACCCAATACCCCTTTCTATAATATGTTCGTTCACGCTCCCCTCTAAAATTAAATGTTTTTCTTAATTTTATAACTAATATCAACTAGAAAGTTAATGTTCGCAATCAAATGTCCGACGTTATGTCGAGTTCAATTCTTCAATCTTCTTCCTCTTGTATCAACTGCAGTATTTTACACCTAGCGTCCTTTGCTGCTTGTCTCTTACTCTTTCGTTGTCCGATTTCGTCCGTTTCTTTTGGCTTCGTCACCTTTGGCTTCGGTTCTTCAATCTCTGTTTCCTTGAGTTCGAGAGAGCAAACAAGAGAAAGTGGTCTTTCAATCGTATGTCCCTTCGTCAAGATCTTTACTCCTCGCACAACGTTGTCCTTGCCCTTGATTAGCTCAACAACTTTTCCCCGTTTCCATTCAGCTCGATTCTTTTCCTCACCGACCACCAACATCATTTCTCCCACTTCTGGACACGCATTTTCCCCTTTAATCACTCGATGATGTTCCATCAAACTATGTACGTACTCCGTCTTCCATCTTTGCCACGCGTGTTCTCGTTTCTGCTTCATTCGTTTGTGTAACTTCACGACTTCTCCATCATCCGTGTCTGATTCGTCTATGGTATGCACGTTTTGTCCCCACAGAATTGTATTTGGTGTGAGCACTTGTTCCTCTTCTTGCTCGCTTTCGACGTACGTCAGTGGCCTATTGTTTACGTTTTTCTCAATATCAATTACGATAGCTTGTAACTGGTCGAAACATAATGTTGATCTTCCCAGAACTTTATACAGGGCTTTTTTAATGTCCTTAAGTAAGCGTTCGTACATTCCACCCCACCAAGGGGACTTGGATAGATTGAATCTCCACCGAATCTCTTGTCTTGCCAAATAATCTTGCAGTTGTTCACTTTTACGTATCTTTCTGATCCATAACGCTGTCGCTTTAAACGCTCCTCCGTTGTCCGACACAATCAACTTTGGTCTGCTCTTTCTTGCGATGAAGGCGTTTAGCTTTACTTTGAATTCCTCTGCCGATTGTGTCTTCGTCAACTCCAGATGCACGGCTCTGGATGTAGCACATGTAAATATTAGGATGTAGCACTTGCCTTCTTCTTTCTTGGTAAGCTTATATGTGAGGGGACCCGCGAAATCAACACCCGTTGTTTCAAATGGTCCTCCGCTTTCGATTCGAAACGTAGGTAGTTCGGCAGTTGCTGTACGACCATATGATTTGACTCTGTACGCTTTACATACGTTGCATTCGTTAATGATCCTTTTAACTTTCGAGCGCAGTCTCGGAATCCACCAGTTCTCTCTTAGTGCGGCCATCGTGTTCGCGATACCAAAATGACGTATCTCATTGTGTGTATGCATAATCAATTTGTCCGTAAAGTCTCCTCCTTCCAAGTATATCGGCTGATACCCGGGAATTCGACCTTTACATTTCAGTAAACCAGAATCACCTTCTCGTATGACTTCCCATCCAGGTGCTCGTAGCTCCGAACTCATGTCTTCTTGGACCTTCTTCACCCATCGCACTTTCGACTGTTCTAGCTCGTTCGTCGTCAGCGGACCTTTCGCTAGGTTAGTTTTCTGTTTTCTGGCTCTTGCATTGCTTACAAATCTTAACGCCCACGCAGTAACACGAATAGTCTTCCAGTAGCTTGATCTAGAAAGTAGCAAGTCCCATTTGGCCGGACCCTTTTCTTCCGTATTGAAAGCTACTTCCGTCATCGGCTTCTGCTCGTCCAGGACAGCCTTTGTTCTCTCGAGCTTTGGTTGTTTTGGCCATTTGTCTGGGTTAACTAGCCACTCGGGACCATTAAACCAACCGTCCTTTTCCATTTTGTCGATCGAAGCTCTCCGGCCGACTCCCTAAATCAGCTAAATTTTCCTCGGATGGACAGTACTTCCAACTGATGCCTACTTCTTCCGTATTCCATTTATGTCCGAGTATTTTGCTGGGATTTGATTCGTTGTCAAGTTCTTCGACATTCGACTCCCACTTGTGGACTGGGAACTTCGCGTCTTCTAGGATTTCTGTCGCTTCGCGTTTGAAATCTTCAAGATCTGCAATATCACTTCCGGTCTTCATTAGATTATCAACATAAGTGTTCTCTTTTAACGACTCAATGGTGTTTTGGTACTCTTCTGGCTGCAGATTGAAGTGGTGTTGCAGGGTGGCACCGAGCATAAATGGGCTGGCTTCCACGCCGAAAGGCACACGGGTAAATCTTAAATGTTCTACTTGACCGTTAATGTCAAACAGAAACCGAAACGCATCTCGATCATCTTCCTTCAAACCAACCTGCAGAAACGCCTTCTGCAAGTCTGCGAGTAGTAGATGGGTTGACATTCTGGCTCTGATTAATATGTCCCATAACAATGGTTGAAGTGGGGGGCCAGTGTGCATGCATTCATTGACGCTATTGGCCGTTGAATGGGGTCTGGCACTGGCATCGAACACCATTCTCACCTTGGTTGTAGAGGCATTTTCTTTAATCACCGGTTTGTGTGGCATGTAGAACACGCGTTCACTAGTCGAGCTCTCTTTGGTCTTTTCAATGACTCCGTCTTTCAACTGTTCATGCACAATTTTCTCGTATTCATCTTTGAGCTGTTGATTCTGTTTCAACTTCCTGTTTACATTGTGGAGTCTCTTCCTACTGGGTTCTTCATTAGTGTTTGACAATACAGCTCCAGGTATCCATGGAACAGCAACTTCGTATCTCCCATCCTCTTTCCTAGTGATGCTTTCTTGGAATTCTGCATAAATTGTTGACTGATCTTTCTCCCCTCGATCCTCTACTCCCAAGACATCAAGGGAATAGAGCTGTTCATAATCACTATGGTCACAAACATACATGCACCTTGAATCTGCGTAATCTTGGCCGCCATGAACTACCCAACCGAAGGTCGTTCCTTCTACAATCGGATCCTCTGATTTTCCCTTGTAGACTTGATCAGTCCGTATTTTGCAATAGGTAGCATCGCCCAATATGACATGGATGGGATACTCTTCGTTTTCTGACCGGTAGAATGTTTTCTCGCAAAGATGCTCGTATTTCTCCTTTAGCTCTATGAAAGTCGGTCTTTTCACAGTTGTAAAATCTGGCATTTCTGTACCAGTAATCTCGATATTCTCACTTGCCTGTCCATCAACTGAATTGATTGTTACTTCAAACACTGGCATTGATGCCTTTTTGGACCCGTTTACAGTTAGGATGTTTCTACTCTCATGGCGCTGGGGTGATAGTCTTAATTGTCGCACTGCTTCCTTCGAGATGAAATTTCTCCCAGAGCCCGTGTCGATACGCCCAAAATGTCTTACCCTTAATTTTAAGTGGCACTATAGCTGGTAAAGACTTCTCTTCGGAGGATGGGGAATATCCATTTAACATTGCGTTGTGGTTTTCTCGATTATTGTTTTCCTGCAGTTTATCACAAAGGCTAGTGTGATGTTTATTCTTGCACTTGTAGCACCCCTACTGCGACATTTACTTTCGCGGTGGCCTGGTCGACCACAATTAAAGCACAGTCGTTTTTCAACAAAGAACTGTCTACGCTTAGTCACAGAGTCATACGATGTGCATTGGTCTCCCCAGTGCTGTCCTTCGCACTAAATACAGACCGGGCCCTTGCCTTTACCATTGGTAAACTCTCCTCCCTTTTGGGTATACCAGTTTCGCTCCCTCTTTCTTGGGTTTTCATGCTCCTTAGTTGATACCTCTTCTGTTTTGTTACGCTTCAACCACCCCTGTAATGCTGATAACAATTGTTTCATGTTCCAATCTTCCCAATTATCATCCATACGTACTAAATCAGGCTTAACCTGGGGAAGTTTATTTAAAGTAGATACCACCAACCCCTTTAACATAGCTTCTTCACTCAACGTTTGCAGTGCGTCATAGTTTTTGCAAAGACTTTCATAAAATTCACATACCTTATCGTAATTTCTTCCTCTCACCGTCTGTAACTTAATAATCTCCTCCATATGAGCTGCAATTACTAATTTATTATGACCATATTCCATTTTCAACCTTTCCCATGCTGTTTTGTAACCTTCTGACCCCGGCTTCAAGTTCGAAAGTCTACCTCTCACCTTCGGATTCACAAGCTCTAAAAGGTACCCAAATTTCTCAGCGTCGGAAATGGACTTGCTGTCAACTTGTGAGGAAAACATATTCTCAAACCTTATCCAGTCAGCAGAAGTGCCATTAAAGGGTGATATTTTCAACTCTGGTAGTTTCGATGTACTTGCTTTAGCTTCTTTCTCCATCTGAATTTTCTTCTCTGCCAGCACTAACTCCGCTCTCATTCTTTCTTCCCACATTTCTTTCTCTCGTTGTTGGATCTGCCTACGTAGTTGCTCTTCTTTCTCCATCTTTCTGATCGCCACTTCTTCCTCAGCTCTCAAGTTTTCATGTCTCTGTCTATCGTCTAGTACCCTACACAACCTCGCACGTTTCTCACATAGTGGTGCATACTCTGCCTTCAAATCTCTTGTCCACTGTCTAATAGATCTTTGTGTTGAATTTCCCAGCTCAATTTTTAATTCTTGTAAATGGGACACCAAGTCGTTCATATTATCTTGAATCTGCTGTGTTCGCTTGCATACTTGTTTGATTTCATTAAAATCCTCACTTTCCAATAATTCGTCGACGTCCTCGAGATAAAACTGCAGCTTTTCAATCTCTTTTCTAATCTTTTTCTCCTGGTCTTTCTCCTCCTGAGTGATTTCTACCGTATTATTCTCCTCAATTTCTTGTTGTTCAAGTTCGTCCGCCATCTTGGATTTCGTAATACCCTCAATTTCTCGTCTTTATCCGCAAATATTTCGTTGTTCAATCCTGGTCACGGCACCAAAATGTGCCGAACTTGTGTCGGCACACTAAAACTCTCGTATTATGTTTTAGTAAAGTTTAATAAACTATAAAAACTCCCACTTTTTACACAAAACTCTCGCTCACAAAGTCTCACATGTTCGTTGTTTTTCCCGATACTCAGGTCGCCCGCGAACAGGCTTGTTACCCACAAGTAACCCAATACCCCTATCTATAATATGTTCGTTCAGCTTTTCAAAATTCTCTATTCTGATTGGTTGACAAGCGGTCCGTAAATATATATATATATATATATATATATATATATATATATATATATATATATATATATATATATATATATATATATATATATATATATATATATCAGCAATGTGATACCTTTTTTCCCATCATCCCCTGCACGCATAAACTATTTAAGCTGGAATTGCCTATTGGCTTTCCCAATTTCAAAATTAATTTTTGCTTCAAAACTCACTATTTTGTAAACATTACAGCTATTTGAAGCACAGCTTAGAGACAGGAAGTTTTACCTCGCAGTTTGATCGTTGAGACGCACAAGTTACCAAGGGCAAATTCATGGGAAATTTAGGCACTTTCGGTCAATGGGTTGTTCCAGAAAAGATCCATACCCCCCATGCTGTCCGAAGGGGGAGTGAGGAAAAATGTCTTAGGATGTCCGAGGGGGGGGGGAATGCGGATATAAGATTGTCCGAAGGTTTTAGACAGTGATAAAGCTATGTGATCGGCGATTATAATGAGCACGCAATTTTTATCGGCTATAGCCCTTAAAAACTGGAACGTTTATGTAACAGCAATAATTATACGTCCACGTAACTCGTTAACTCGTAAGCAAAATAGCGGCCCACTTTTGCATGCATGGCCACCAAAAACTAACTCGCTGTAACAGTGTATCCTGCATGTTGAGAACGAGTCGAAAATTTACACACTTTATTTATATAAAAGTAAGGTCTTGCAGTTTTTGTATGTATAAGTTTGACTTATTCAAGTGTTAAAAATAATAGTTATTAAACTGTTGCTTGAATTAAGAGACTGCTATGTGAACTAAACTCAATATTTAGAATATTTAGTTTCAGTATATAGTCAATAAAGCTTCCTTGCAAGGTGTGTGCCTAGAAAATAGAAATGGCTGTCATATTAAGGGCGAGGTTAAGGAATGCAGTAATACTAAAAAATGCATTAACATGTAAGTAAACACAGCAACGCTTCTCAATCAGTCGCAAGTTACATTGAATTTCAGTCCGAATTTTACTTGATCGAATTTCAAAGTGAATTTCTGCAAATTATCCACCAAAATCTGCCATGTGTTTGTGTTCACAAGAAGCCGCCAAGTGTTCCACCACCACGCCGGAGCTATTTGACAACAATGTAGAAAAGTCACAATAAGCCATCGCTTTCACACTACGCTGGAGCGAAATAGTTTGAAAACTTTCACAACGCCTTTGCCAAATATGCTACCAGCCTGAATTGCTGAAAGCTGTTGCAAAAAACTGTTTTATATTACTACTTTACAAAATGTAATAATTGGATGCTATACTTCAGTTCTTGTATGATAGTGCTTATAAATAATTATTAATATCAAACTAATAATCATTAGTTCGATATTAATAATTATTTATAAGCACTATCATACAAGAAATGTCAAGAATGAATTTTCCTTCAATGGTGGTTTTTTATCCGTCAAAAGTTTAATATAGTTTTGACGAGAGAAATGTTTCTCAACAATTTTCAGAAAGTTTTACAAGATTTTGGGGCTTGTTTTGAATTGGGCTATTCCATTTAAAAGACGTAACCCCCCCCTATCAAGGACAATGGTTTTACCATATCTCTGAAGAATTCTTGACATAAAAGAGATCCCCTGAAGAATTCCTGTTACCCCTGAAGAATTACAATTTTTACATCTGACCCCTAAAGGAATTGCATTTGAAATAACCAACCCCTGAAGAATTCCACTGGAGAATTTGTTTACCCATGAGGAATTCCGGAGTTAAAAAGGGAGATTATGGATATTAAATGGAATAGCCAATTTTCTGGAAAATTTAGCCCAATTTTCTGGAAAATTTCCTGGTTGTTTTCCCTTGCAGCTTGTTTATAAACATGCTTGTTTATCTATAGCATCATTTGTAGAAAAGGTGTTGAAAGCATTTTTTGAAAGCAATGACGATTATCAAATGACAAATGATCATGCGAGCGACACTTGCTAGGAAGATGGTGACTGTGGGACAACTATATAGTTTTGTTTGTGGAAACACCACATAAATTTATTACTGCAAAGCTTTCGATCCGTAAGCCCGGATCTTCATCAGTGCTAATATGTGACTTGTTTAATTCACACGCCCTTTTTATATACAAAAAATGTCTTGATCTGTTGGCTCACATATTATTAGCACTGATGAAGATTCGGGCTTACAGATCGAAAGCTTGGCAGTAATAAATTTACGTGGTGTTTCCACAAACAAAACTATTATATGTTTTATCGCCATGCAAACATACAAAGAACTTATTGTGGGACAACTTTTTTACTGAAGTTATACATCTGTCTTCACTTAATCTCTGGCTCAGCTGGCTAGACCTTGATTCTTGCCTGTGGTCCCCCTTTGCATTTGACCCAAATGTTTTGGTCATTTTATATTTGCCAATTCAATATAAATCTTTTTGGCATAGAAATTATACATTTGGAATAATAATTTTGTATGCTGCATTCAATCTATTCTCCATTCAGGGAGATTCTTTTGTAAATACCCACACCAATCAGAAGTCTGTATTTTTATGCTAAGACAGAAATTGGCATCCCAGAGAGTAAATTATATTCAAGTTTAGGGCATGTTGCAGCCCTATATCTTGCCGTTGCAAGTTGCTTTGCGTTTGATGTTTGTTCTGGGATAAAATATTGAATTATACCTTAAATTAATGTTTTGTGAAATTTAGTTTAAATAATTTAGTAGAGAGATGAGTGCATAAAGCATAGGGATTTTGAAGCTAAATATGTTATAAAATTTGTCATTTTAGTGAATGCATTCTTTTCTGCTCGTCCTGGTTGTTGCAAGGAGACATCAGGCATTGTAATGGATGGATGACGATGTGTCGCTGGCAAACCTACACCGTGTGCATTTTATTGGTGGATATCTTGGGCAAATGTGCAATATGACGAGGGATATCTTGGGCAAATATCTTACATAAATTGGTACGATTGCTTACCTTAAATTACTAAAGAAGGATGATGTTGGAAGGTTAGTGGATATTTATAATAGTGATAAAATGGGGGTTCCCTATGAATAGGAACAAAGTAAGGCTGCCTAATTAAGTGGAAACAATATTGCGCAGTGTAACAATCTAAAAATATGGCGGACTGAAATCTGTAAAAATGATGCATGTTTAATTTAAAACATGCAAAAATTGCGGCATAAATATATCACGAAACATGCTTTTTACAACTACATGCTATGTTTATAGGAATTTGAATAAGTTTTTAGTAGGCATGATTTAGGATTTTTGTTTTATTTTCATTTATCATTTTCTATAAATGCCCCAACTAGTTTATATCTAATATGTAATGTATAATATGTAGATTGTAAATTTTTTGATCTAGAAAATAATAGAGTTCTGATACAACTACATGCTGTGTTGGGTTGTTAGGGTTGAATAAGTTTTTAGTAGGCATGATTTAGGATTGTTTTTATTTATGATTTTCTATAGACTGTCCCCCCCCCCCCTCCGTGGTGGAAGGATAACAGCCTGTGGCCATTTGTCACTAATGCTGCACAGTGACGTAGTCGTATAAATAGATATTTAACAGTCTGTGGCCATTTGTCACTAATGCTGCACAGTGATGTAGTCGTATAAATAGATATAATATTGTGCACATCAGTGGCTTTCTAATTTTATTATCCAATCAGGTGTGTTACTTTAAATAGAACTTATTGTATGTAAACAAGGTCAATAGACAACGTTTGGGACAACATTGCTTTCTTTAACATATAGCAGAATTTGTCTTCGTCATTTTGTGCACAATGAAGTATTGGGTCATTCCAGAAAACATCCATATCCCCCCCCCCCATGGAGGAAATAGGAAGTTAACCCCCTTCGGATGCCCTAATACATTTACTATTATCAGAAACAATTTTTTGTCCCCTCCCCCTCCGGACGGCAGAAATTTCCTCTGTGGGGGGAGTATGGATCTATTCTGGAACGACCCATTCAAGGCAAAGAAAATATGCAAGCATTAAATATTTCCTGCATTATTTCTCAATCCTTGCTCAATGACAAAAACATACTTAAATTAAATTTGTAATATAGGAAAAATAGATTTTCTGTAATATATATTTATCTGAAACAACCTCATGCTATGTACACTTTTGTAAGTTGTCTGTTTGTTTCAAAACTTACAATAGTGTACATTAAAACAAGTAAGACTGAAGAATCATCTAAAATTCTTAAAAAAACAAAAACAAAAAAAACACCTCATGCTATGTTGATAGGAATTTGAAGTTTTTAGTAGGCATGATTTAGGATTTTTGTTTCTATTCATGATTTTCTATAAATGGGTGCCCACCTAATTTTTGAGATATGATATGAATTTATGATATCTTTATCACAAAAGAGTGGCAGTGTCATCACAACAGTATAAAAAACCAATTACTGTGGGCTCAATTTTACAAATACTGTATAAATATACAATAACATAACTTAATTTATGAGAATAAATACAACTATCAGGAACAACAAGAGAGTGGAGTAGCAAGACTACAACAGTGTTACATTTCAAACAGATTCTTAGTTTATATTGATAGCAGTAATGTACCATCTGTATAACATACAGTTGTAAAATTTGTAACGTCTCTCTGGAGCAGGGGGGGGCACAGTCTTTCTTTAGGTTGTAAAGCGATGATTGGGCTAAGAAAATTTCAATACGTCATTGCTGTTGAAATGACTTAATTCATCACTAATAATATTGCTCATAATATACCATCCAGCGTCTATTTTTGAGAAAATTGTTGCACAAACCATGTTCCAATGTTTGCGATGTGACCATTGCATATGGCTGTCAAAAACGTCCAGATTAGTTAGATTATTGTTTTCTAAAACATTGCGCGGCTCGTGATTTTAGAACTCGTTTTATGCTTTAACCCATTGAGTGGCTCCACTTGACAAGTAAAATCCTGTGGCGTTAGACAGTAAAATACTAAAGTTGGGTGCATCTGGGTGCAATGCAACTTAAAGGGTTAAATTAACCAAAAAAAGTTCATACATTTGTTTGAAAAAAAGATTTTAACACAGTACCATGCCTGTTTGTATTTTGAAGTTCCTTGAGTTAAACATGATACTGCATAAAACCCTAAGTAGGGAACCACCTCCAGACCAATTTACACTCACCTGCGACAAAATAGGGAGGTTGTGTGCTTGATTTGCACAGTGCAACTCAAGTTGTAAGCATCTTGCATGGGACCATCTGATGCACAAGACTTTCCTCTTGATGAATAAAATGATCTGATATCAGACATTTGAGTTCCTTTGCAGCTTAAGGAGTTAATCCTATTTATCTTAGAGAACAGCAATTCAACTATCTGGCTGGCTTGACAAATAACTATACACCAACAATGTGTGCAAAGGCAATTAAGTGTATCCTTGGAAAATTTTATCTGAGATTATGCAGAGGAGTTTACAACTTTTTTGTTCAAGCCTAGTGACTTATTTCAGTGCATGAAAATCATCCCACCTTTCATCCTGTCCTGACAAACTGGGATCATGTAAACAGCACATTTAGCCATTAAGTTGATTTGCACTCTAATTTTCCTACTTATATTATTTAACTCTGTCTAACGTCATACAATTTTATTAAGCAGGGGGTGCAGTGGCAGTTAATTAATGGGTAACTAGACACATGGGCAGTCTCATTATGAAGCATAAAATCGTCTAGCGCTGGACAGTAAAATACTCAAGTAGAGCATGCATTTGCACTCTAATTTTCCTACTTATATTATTTAACTCTGTCTAACGTCGTACAATTTTATTAAGCAGGGGGTGCACTGGCAGTTAATTAATGGGTAACTAGACACATGGGCAGTCTCATTATGAAGCATAAAATCGTCTAGCGTTGGACAGTAAAATACTCAAGTAGTACAACCTAATGGTTAAATTTGTTTTTTGTAGCAAAATGGTTTTATATCTGAATTTTTTAAATTTTTTAAATTTTTTTTTGCTTTGTTTTACAGATCATTACTTGAACGTGCTGATGAAATATTGATTTATAAAATATCATGTTACCAAGATGACATGCCTCGAAGAGCAATACATGAGGGAATACCTCTATTTCTAATCAAATTACAACAATACACCAAAGACAGTAGTTCTCGGATGAAATGAAAGGATTGATAAATGTTCATGGCCAGCAGTGGATATTTGTGACTATAATAAATGGATACAAAGAAACTATGATGGATAAATATGGCCCGTAATGGATATTCAGTTGATGGACATACAAAGGTCACAGAAATGTCTATTTTCAGGTACTGTTCTTTCTTGTTTGCCTGCGAACAGGCTGTAGATACTTGTATCCAGGCCATTGTTTGTTTGTTTTTGTTCTGGGTACAATGAAATCCGGCATAAATCCTGGCGGTCTAAATGTTCAGTATATTTACAAATTCGATCTATTTTCTGTTTGTGCAGTAGACTTTGATAGCTTGAAAGAAAGTTTATAACGATGAGTTTCTCTGCAAAAACTGTACTTTCGAAATTCGTCAGCTTCTGAATTTGATAACCGATCTGAAAAAAAAAGGAACATTTGAGTGTATGGTTATTGCATGGTTCTATATATATTCTATATATACTGCCTTTGTGCACACGCATAACAAGTGCAGCAATGCAACAGTTTAGACAGGGTCATGAGGCAGGATGTGTACAAGAAAAGCTTTGCCAGAGTTTTGTCTTTCGAAATAGAACGACGATTGGAAATTGCTGTTTGATTCTTTGTAATATCTTGTCGCTTTGTTAGTGAAAAAGAAATTTGTCACTTTCCTCATCTAAGGCCCTGTTTACATGAGACCGGAACGAAGTCAAACCGGGACCATTTCGTTTCGGTCACAGTATTATTTATAATAGATGTTTACATGAGACCGGGACGAAAATAACTCAGACCGGTCTCAAGTCATTCCGCCTGCTGAACCGAACCGACTGACTTCAGACCGGGGATGAATGTAAACAGAAATACATTTCAGACCGGTCTCGGCTGTAACCTTGACATTGGAACAACACATGCTAACAAAAGCCATCTGAAAAAGAAAATTGCCCTGGCAAGGGGAATAAGTTGAAAATTTTGTGATTTTCGTACCGGTCTCATGTAAAGATATTGACAATTTCAATTTTCGTCCCGGTCTCATGTAAACGGGGCCTAAACCTTTTTTTCAAAAAACTGGCATCGTTTGTCTTGAGGTTAGGGGGTACAAATAGTACCCATAGCTTAGAGGGTGCAAATGGTACCCGTAAGAAGACTTGGTGGAAATCATGTTGGGGTCGTTTGGATCGGCGAGAATAAGACAATTATGGTGGCAAAGTTTTTTTTAAACATTTTCTCTCCCATAGTAAGGTAAAGCATGTATTTTCCTGGTAGCCGGTCTTACTTCATGAAAAAATAGTCCGCTACCAGTGACTAGGTCCCCTCTCTTATGGCGGTTATTCCGGCTCAATATCTTCGGGGATATTCCTTTTCAGGGCGGTTGCATGCGGATAATATGGTCCGTCGCGTGCGCAAAATAGTTAGGGAGTTAGACAGTTTAGAAGCGTCCAAACTGCGCAATATACGACACTCACATGAAACGTAAAATACTTTATAATAATTCACAAAATTGCGAAAACAAAAAATTGACAATTTTGCAATTTGAATTGTGCGTTTCTGGCAAATGCCTTTAGGGACCGGTCATTATTTATGGTGGGGGGTGGCACCGAAGAGAAATGTTTTTCGTAGCAAAAATTTTGCTGACCCAACCATTAAAAAGTCAAAAATTTGATTACCCAACCTCAAATATCAAGTAAAAAATAAATACCCACCCCTGGCCAAAATTAAACTTTACAAAAGATTACCATTCAGTTGTCAGATATGTCCTTTACCCAATTTCTGTGACACTGAGGAGTTTGATAACTGCTTGTGAAATTTGCTGCAGTCTAATGTATCATGTTGTCTGCACATGTGCTTTCTTTGGAGACACCATTTGTCTTCTAACAAATTGGAAAATGATCAAGACAGTGACTGACTGATTCACATATTGTATTGACATATGACTATAACTTTTTATTACCCAACCCTTGAGTTGTTTTGTTTTTCATTTACCCAACCTTTTACTTACTCAAAATTTAGTTTACCCAACCCTTTTCTCTTCGGTGCCATCCCCCGCCATAAATAATGACCGGTCCCTTAGATTCAAGTTGTAACGACAATTTACAAGCGCATTAAGTGTAAATACGGCATTATTTCTAATGAAAAGACCGCCAGGGTTAGAGTGTTTTTATGTGGTTTGTTAAGGAGCAAACTCGCTTTTTAAAAAAAGAAATGTGTGTTAATTTCGATCCAGATTTGTTCCTGAACATGGTCGCCATGAAAACACTCTGTAGAGCAAGCTCAGCGACGTACGGTCATAATAGCGTCGTCGGAAGTTTGCATTCAGCATTTTCGTTCAAAATTGAACGTACATTATGCTATGCTAGGGTTGCGTACAATCGGTACCCACACGATGTGTAGCAATTCTAAAGGAATAACTAATACGTATAAATAGGGTGTGCGCACGAAGTTTTTTTCGCAGGCCTTAATAACTTCGGGGAAAATAATAAAAAAAGCAGTGTCCGTGGTCGGGGCTGAATAGTACTGTGGAAGATTGGGTTGGAAAATTTGCAATTAAGATCTGTATTTTTGGGCAATTGTTACTTTTTGAAAAATAGTATCCTACTGATGTAAAATAACATCGGAAGGGTTTGGCAACAACGATGTCCAAAGAGTATGTTAGCCCTAAAGTTTATTTCATAAAATGATTTATCTTTGTATATACTCAATTGCAAGACAATTTAAAGTTCGAGTAAAAGTTTAATAACAATTGATATAAACTGAAACTCATTCTGGCTCAAATACTCAGAATACTCGATTACATGACAATTCAAAAAGAATATTTAAAGTCAAAATATTAATCATAATTCAAAATGACCTTTGGGTCACATTTTATGCCTACTCATATGGTTGTGTCCACAGAAGCCTGAGGTATTATATTAGATACGAAATACAACGTTTTTAAAAAAACAACCTTATCAAAAATCAGTTAAATATACTCGCCTTTTAAGCAAAAGCGAAAAGATTATTTTTGCCACAATTTTACGGTAAACCCAAACGTGGTGACGGAATTTCCCAGCATTTATATGTGCTGAAATTGAACTAAATCGAGAAATTTAACCAAAGTATAATTTTGCCACTCACCGGGTTTGAGTATCTTTTGTGACAATATGGATACTACCATGAAGATTAGATGTTTGATTAGTACTAAGTAAGTGTTTTCGTCAAAAACACTACTGAAATCATGGCTTTGACAGGGTTGACTAAGTTAGCCTAAAAACCCAATAATTTCCCATTCCATGTTTGTAATATGCATTCAATATGATAGATACGGCAGGCCTTCTACTCTTTCTTCTACTCGATAAATTGGAACAGAATGGCTGAAATTGAGTATACTAAAAGACTTTAATGAAATAAAATTTGGGGTTAATGCATATGTCGTTTTTCGTCTTGCGTAACGTCAGTTGTGTGTAACTTTTATGAAAAAAATCAAAGTCTTGAGATTTTGTTTTTCAACAAGTAATAATGGTCTAGAAATACAGATTTATATTGCACATGTTAGTTTCTTCAGTAAGGTCTCTAAACATTGGCACAACTGCTTGTTCCACAGGGGGCAGAAAAGTACGATTGTGTTTATTTAAAATACCTTGTCATCGTCCTACACGGCAAAAAACGCTCAAGTTGATGCAATACTGATGAAAACAGGATTGAACAATGTTTTGCTGCCCACATTGTTCATAGCTGTCAACAATATCGAACAATATTGTTACACCCGATTCAGGCTCAACAATATTGTTCAATATTGTTGACAGCTATGAACAACGTAGGCAGCAAAACATTGTTCAGTCCTGTTGAGCAACGGGCTCGGCGTTTTTTGCCGTGTATATATCGCATAGTTTCATCCAGGTTTCAAACGATGAAAATTATGTTGATTTTAAATTTTTTTCGATAATATAATACCGACTACTTCATGTAATTCAAACATTGTATTACCATCATCCTTTCGTAAGATGTTCGGAAATTGTCGTTGCAATGCAATGATGTTTAAATTACATGAAGTAGAAGGCTCGATATTTTCGAAAATATAAAAATCAGCTAATTTTGATTCTTTTATGACTTTGTCTTCGGATTGTTGTGATATAAATATGGGATATTGGTCGATGACAAGGTATTTACAAAACACAATCGTACTTTTCTGCCCCCTGTGCTTGTTCCCCATGCATAAATTTTTAACTAGTTTTTGGGATTGGATTTATTCAAATTTGAGGTGATTTTGAACACATATTGGTATGTTACTCATATGATATGAGTAAAATATTGTTCGTTTATACATTGTTCTAGTTTCTATAGCTTTTTATTTGTCTTATCAGTTGAAATATATGTTGTGATTGTTTACGAAATATATTGAATTATTTGTGAATTGTTCGTTCATTTTATGCATGACGAAACCCGAAATTTATAGTTTGATGGTCACAACAAATTTGAGCATAAAAATGTTAAAATTGTACACTAAAACACTAGGTATTATATTCGAAATCACTGGAACACGACTAGTTTTAAATATGCTTGAACTGAATTTCATACATGGAGTATTTCAAAAGTTCTGATCGGTTATCTGTTTAAAAACTTTTGAAATCATGCATGTATGAAATTCAGTTCAAGCATATTTAAAACTAGTCGTGTTCCAGTGATTTCGGATATAATACCTAGTGTTTTGGGTGTACAATTTTAACATTTTTATGCTCAAATTTGTTGTGACCATCAAACTATAAATTTCGGGATTCGTCATGCATAAAATGAACGAACAATTCACAAATAATTCCATATATTTCGTAAACAATCACAACATATATTTCAACTGATAAGACAAATAAAAAGCTATAGAAACTAGAACAATGTATAAACGAACAATATTTTACTCATATCATGAGTAACATACCAATATGTGTTCAAAATCACCTCAAATTTGAATAAATCCAATCCCAAAAACTAGTTAAAAATTTATGCATGCGGAACAAGCAGTTGTGCCAATGTTTACAGACCACCGTCCACAGTACTACTTGGTTTGTGGGTTCAAATCCCAAAACACTGAACTTATTATAAGTTACTAAAAAAACATGGATCTGATGGATCCGACAGATCCAATGGATTTTAGTTATATAAAAAAAATGGATCCGAGGGATCTGATGGATCCGAGGGATCTGATGGATCCGAGGGATCTGATGGATCAGATCCATCAGATCCATCAGATCCCTCGGATCCATCAGATCCCTCGGATCCCTAGGATCCATCGGATCCATCAGATCCATCGGATCCATCGGATCCCTCAGATCCCTCGGATCCATCAGATCCCTCGGATCCATCAGATCCCTCGGATCCATCTGATCCCTCGGATCCATCAGATCCATCGGATCCCTCGGATCCATCGGATCCATCAGATCCATCGGATCCATCAGATCCCTCAGATCCATCGGATCCCTCGGATCCATCAGATCCCTCGGATCCATCTGATCCCTCGGATCCATCAGATCCCTCGGATCCATCAGATCCATCGGATCCATCAGATCCATCGGATCCATCGGATCCCTCAGATCCATCAGATCCCTCGGGTCCATCTGATCCCTCGGATCCATCTGATCCATCAGATCCCTCGGATCCATCAGATCCCTCGGATCCATTTTTTTTATGTAACTAAAATCCATTGGATCCGTCGGATCCATTTTTTTTATAGTAACTTATAAGTTCAGTGTTTTGGGATTTGAACCCACAAACCAAGTAGTACTGTGGACGGTGGTCTAGAACATTGGCACAACTGCCTGTTCCGCATGCATAAATTTTTAACTAGTTTTTGGGATTGGATTTATTCAAATTTGAGGTGATTTTGAACACATATTGGTATGTTACTCATTATGATATGAGTAAAATATTGTTCGTTTATACATTGTTCTAGTTTCTATAGCTTTTTATTTGTCTTATCAGTTGAAATATATGTTGTGATTGTTTACGAAATATATTGAATTATTTGTGAATTGTTCGTTGATTTTATGCATGATGAATCCCGAAATTTATAGTTTGATGGTCACAACAAATTTGAGCATAAAAATGTTAAAATTGTACACCCAAAACACTAGGTATTATATTCGAAATCACTGGAACACGACTAGTTTTAAATATGGTTTGAATTGAATTTCATACATGGAGTGTTTCAAAAGTTCTGATCGGTTATCTGTTTAAAAACTTTTGAAATCATGCATGTATGAAATTCAGTTCAAGCATATTTAAAACTAGTCGTGTTCCAGTGATTTCGAATATAATACCTAGTGTTTTGGGTGTACAATTTTAACATTTTTTATACTCAAATTTGTTGTGACCATCAAACTATAAATTTCGGGTTTCGTCATGCATAAAATGAACGAACAATTCACAAATAATTCCATATATTTGTAAACAATCACAACATATATTTCAACTGATAAGACAAATAAAAAGCTATAGAAACTAGAATAATGTATAAACGAACAATATTTTACTCATATCATGAGTAACATACCAATATGTGTTCAAAATCACCTCAAATTTGAATAAATCCAATCCCAAAAACTAGTTAAAAATTTATGCATGGGGAACAAGCACAGGGGGCAGAAAAGTACGATTGTATTTTGTAAATACCTTGTCATCGACCAATAATCCCATATTTATATCACAACAATCCGAAGACAAAGTCATAAAAGAATCAAAATTAGCTGATTTTTATATTTTCGAAAATATCGAGCCTTCTACTTCATGTAATTTAAACATCATTGCATTGCAACGACAATTTCCGAACATCTTACGAAAGGATGCCGAGGGTATAGCCCGTGTAAAAAGCAAGTCAATCGTTCTAGTATGAACCCACGATAGTATGGTAATACAATGTTTGAATTACATGAAGTAGTCGGTATTATATTATCGAAAAAAATTTAAAATCAACATAATTTTCATCGTTTGAAACCTGGATGAAACTATGCGATATATAGGACGATGACAAGGTATTTTAAATAAACACAATCGTACTTTTCTGCCCCCTGTGGAACAAGCAATTGTGCCAATGTTTAGAGACCTTACTGAAGAAACTAACATGTGCAATATAAATCTGTATTTCTAGACCATTATTACTTGTTGAAAAACAAAATCTCAAGACTTTGATTTTTTTCATAAAAGTTACACACAACTGACGTTACGCAAGACGAAAAACGACATATGCATTAACCCCAAATTTTATTTTATTAAAGTCTTTTAGTATACTCAATTTCAGCCATTCTGTTCCAATTTATCGAGTAGAAGAAAGAGTAGAAGGCCTGCCGTATCTATCATATTGAATGCATATTACAAACATGGAATGGGAAATTATTGGGTTTTTAGGCTAACTTAGTCAACCCTGTCAAAGCCATGATTTCAGTAGTGTTTTTGAAAACACTTACTTAGTACTAATCAAACATCTAATCTTCATGGTAGTATCCATATTGTCACAAAAGATACTCAAACCCGGTGAGTGGCAAAATTATACTTTGGTTAAATTTTTCGATTTAGTTCAATTTCAGCACATATAAATGCTGGGAAATTCCGTCACCACGTTTGGGTTTACCGTAAAATTGTGGCCAAAATAATCTTTTCGCTTTTGCTTAAAAGGCGAGTATATTTAACTGATTTTTGATAAGGTTGTTTTTTTAAAAACGTTGTATTTCGTATCTAATATAATACCTCAGGCTTCTGTGGACACAACCATATGAGTAGGCATAAAATGTGACCCAAAGGTCATTTTGAATTATGATTAATATTTTGACTTCAAATATAGTCTTTTTGAATTGTCATGTAATCGAGTATTCTGAGTATTTGAGCCAGAATGAGTTTCAATTTATATCAATTGTTATTAAACTTTTACTCGAACTTTAAATTGTCCTGCAATTGAGTATATACAAAGATAAATCATTTTATGAAATAAACTTTAGGGCTAACATACTCTTTGGACATCGTTGTTGCCAAACCCTTCCGATGTTATTTTACATCAGTAGGATTAGTACTATTTTTCAAAAAGTAACAATTGCCCAAAAATACAGATCTTAATTGCAAATTTTCGAACCCAATCTTCCACAGTACTATTCAGCCCCGACCACGGACACTGCTTTTTTTATTATTTTCCCCGAAATTATTAAAGGCCTGCGAAAAAAACTTCGTGCGCACACCCTATTTATACGTATTAGTTATTCCTTTAGAATTGCTACACATCGTGTGGGTACCGATTGTACGCAACCCTAGCATAGCATAATGTACGTTCAATTTTGAACGAGAATGCTGAATGCAAACTTCCGACGACGCTATTATGACCGTACGTCGCTGAGCTTGCTCTACAGAGTGTTTTCATGGCGACCATGTTCAGGAACAAATCTGGATCGAAATTAATACGCATTTCTTTTTTTTAAAAGCGAGTTTGCTCCTTAACAAACCACATAAAAACACTCTAACCCTGGCGGTCTTTTCATTAGAAATAATGCCGTATTTACACTTAATGCGCTTGTAAATTGTCGTTACAACTTGAATCTAAAGGCATTTGCCAGAAACGCACAATTCAAATTGCAAAATTGTCAATTTTTTGTTTTCGCAATTTTGTGAATAATATTTTGTGAAGAATAAGTATTTTACGTTTCATGCGAGTGTCGTATATTGCGCAGTTTGGACGCTTCTAAACTGTCTAACTCCCTAACTATTTTGCGCACGCGACGGACCATATTATCCGCATGCAACCGCCCTGAAAAGGAATATCCCCGAAGATATTGAGCCGGAATAACCGCCATAAGAGAGGGGACCTAGTCACTGGTAGCGGACTATTTTTTCATGAAGTAAGACCGGCTACCAGGAAAATACATGCTTTACCTTACTACGGGAGAGAAAATGTTTAAAAAAACTTTGTCACCATAATTGTCTTATTCTCATCGATCCAAACGACCAACATGATTTCCACCAAGTCTTCTTACGGGTACCATTTGCACCCTCTAAGCTATGGGTACCATTTGTACCCCCTAACCCCAAGACAAACGATGCCAGTTTTTTGAAAAAAAAAAAGGTTTAGGCCCCGTTTACATGAGACCGGCACGAAAATTGAAATTGTCAATATCTTTACATGAGACCGGTACGAAAATCACAAAATTTTCCAACTTATTCCCCTTGGCAGGGCAATTTTCTTTTTCAGATGGCTTTTGTTAGCATGTGTTGTTCCAATGTCAAGTTTACAGCCGAGACCGGTCTGAAATGTATTTCTGTTTACATTCATCCCCGTCTGAATTCATGCTGGTCTGAAGTCAGTCGGATCGGTTCAGCAGGCGGAATGACTTGAGACCGGTCTGAGTTATTTTCGTCCCGGTCTCATGTAAACATCTATTATAAATAATACTGTGACCGAAACGAAATGGTCCCGGTTTGACTTCGTTCCGGTCTCATGTAAACAGGGCCTTAGATGAGGAAAGTGACAAATTTCTTTTTCACTAACAAAGCGACAAGATATTACAAAGAATCAAACAGCAATTTCCAATCGTCGTTCTATTTCGAAAGACAAAACTCTGGCAAAGCTTTTCTTGTACACATCCTGCCTCATGACCCTGTCTAAACTGTTGCGTTGCTGCACTTATTATGCGTGTGCACAAAGGCAGTATATATAGAATATATATAGAACCATGCAATAACCATACACTCAAATGTTCCTCCTTTTTTTTAGATCGGTTATCAAATTCAGAAGCTGACGAATTTCGAAAGTACAGTTTTTGCAGAGAAAATCATCGTTATAAACTTTCTTTCAAGCTATCAAAGTCTACTGAACAGAAAATAGATCGAATTTGTAAATAGACCGCCAGGATTTATGCCGGATTTCATTGTACCCAGAACAAAAAAAAACAAACAATGGCCTGGATACAAGTATCTACAGCCTGTTCGCAGGCAAACAAGAAAGAACAGTACCTGAAAATAGACATTTCTGTGACCTTTGTATGTCCATCAACTGAATATCCATTACGGGGCCATATTTATCCATCATAGTTTCTTTGTATCCATTTATTATAGTCACAAATATCCACTGCTGGCCATTTCATCCTTTCATTTCATCCGAGAACTACTGTCTTTGGTGTATTGTTGTAATTTGATTAGAAATAGAGGTATTCCCTCATGTATTGCTCTTCGAGGCATGTCATCTTGGTAACATGATATTTTATAAATCAATATTTCATCAGCACATTCAAGTAATGATCTGTAAAACAAAGCAAAAAAAAAATATAAAAAAATTCAGATATAAAACTTAAACCATTTTGCTACAAAAAACAAATTTAACCATTAGGTTGTACTGTGCCCTGATGCATGCTCTACTTGAGTATTTTACTGTCCAACGCTAGACGATTTTATGCTTCATAATGAGACTGCCCATGTGTCTAGTTACCCATTAATTAACTGCCAGTGTACCCCCTGCTTAATAAAATTGTATGACGTTAGACAGAGTTAAATAATATAAGTAGGAAAATTAGAGAACAAATCAACTTAATGGCTAAATGTGCTGTTTACATGATCCCAGTTTGTCAGGACAGGATGAAAGGTGGGATGATTTTCATGCACTGAAATAAGTCACTAGGCTTGAACAAAAAAGTTGTAAACAACTCTGCATAATCTCAGATAAAATTTTCCAAGGATACACTTAATTGCCTTTGCACACATTGTTGGTGTATAGTTATTTGTCAAGCCAGCCAGATAGTTGAATTGCTGTTCTCTAAGATAAATAGGATTAACTCCTTAAGCTGCAAAGGAACTCAAATGTCTGATATCAGATCATTTTACTCATCAAGAGGAAAGTCTTGTGCATCAGATGGTCCCATGCAAGATGCTTACAACTTGAGTTGCACTGTGCAAATCAAGCACACAACCTCCCTATTTTGTCGCAGGTGAGTGTAAATTGTATCATGTTTAACTCAAGGAACTTCAAAATACAAACAGGCATGGTACTGTGTTAAAATCTTTTTTCAAACAAATGTATGAACTTTTTTTGGTTAATTTAACCTTTAAGTTGCATTGCACCCAGATGCACCCTACTTTAGTATTTTACTGTCTAATGCCACAGGATTTTACTTGTCAAGTGGAGCCACTCAATGGGTTAAAGCATAAAAAGAGTTCTAAAATCACGAGCCGCGCAATGTTTGAGAAAACAATAATCTAACTAATCTGGACGTTTTTGACAGCCATATGCAATGGTCACATCGCAAACATTGGAACATGGTTTGTGCAACAATTTTCTCAAAAATAGACGCTGGATGGTATATTATGAGCAACATAAGCTTTCGTATTATTAGTGATGAATTAAGTCATTTCAACAGCAATGACGTATTGAAATTTTCTTAGCCCAATTATCGCTTTACAACCTAAAGAAAGACTGTGCCCCCCCCCCAAAAAAAACTTGTGCTGTTTGATTAAATGTAACAAAAACTACAAAAGCTACTATACTTGAATGTTTTATTGGATTCATAAAGGACTAACTTAGATTTTGATATGTAACATTTGAATACCCCCCCATATATGAGTCCCCCCGTCTATATGCCCTACAAAAAACTCTTAAGAACGAATATGAGCCCATCCTCGTTCCCAGTGTCTCACCTCCGCTCACCCCCTGCTCCAGAGAGACGTTACAAATTTTACAACTGTATGTTATACAGATGGTACATTACTGCTATCAATATAAACTAAGAATCTGTTTGAAATGTAACACTGCTTGTAGTCTTGCTACTCCACTCTCTTGTTGTTCCTGATAGTTGTATTTATTCTCATAAATTAAGTTATGTTATTGTACCAGGTGTCCCAAAAAAAAGTACTCCGGTTTGACTTGTAATAACTTCTAAACAAGTAAAGCTTTCAAACAGAAATAACTTGCATTAAATAGAGGAAGGACTAACTTAGATTTTGATATATTACAGTTGTATTTTACTTAACAATTCACGGAGATATTAATGTTCAAAATCGGGAGCATATTTTTAAATGTGTCTAAAATTAGCGAAAATCGGCATATCAAATATTAACTTCAGCGTTTGTTAGCTTGATGACATATCCGGCTAACTTGTATTTCAGCGAATTGTTGTTAGGGTTTGTAAGGGATATGGCATAGATTTAGACATCTTACATGTAAGTCTTAGCCCATTGTTTCCTGAAATATGAACGTACGAAATTATGCAAGTATTTAATAGGTCTTTACAAACTTATAAGGTAGATGAAAGACCATGCAAGGCAGGCGCTTATATTTTAAAATTTCTTAATTAAAATAGCCTAATTTTTTTTATGTTTTTCATGGATTCAAAACAGAGTTGATTATTTCTCGGTTAGAGCAGGATGAATATTATTCTGCAATGAAGGAAATAATATTGCTTTTTGCAAATACACATCACAGTATCAACGCTATACTATTTTGTTACGTTTTGTTCCATGCAAAAGTGTTGGATGTCTCTGGGGAGTTGCATGCTTGTTATGTCTTATCAAGTTGTATGGTTTGATTGTGTTTCATTCTCAGTTTATTCTGAACTTGCCAAGATTAAGAAAAGGAAAAAGAGTTTGAGTGTTCTAAACAAGATTTCAGAACGTTGCAAAAGTTAGAAGAGCTTCACAATTCGATTGTGACAGCATGCCCTAATTCAGAACTACGAACGATCCATGCATGACAATCCTTTGCGATGCAGTTGTCTCTTGAAATAAGGTAACGTATTCGTGCTAGGAACACAAGCGGATTTCGGACGAATAAATCTTGCTTGTATTTTGTAGATAATAATAATTTGTTTCATAATAAACAATTTGTCAAGTGTCATTTATTTACTGGTAATCGTGCATGTTTCAGTCGGGCAAATCTTGATTAATATTTGATACGCCGTTTTTTGCATATTTCAGACACATCCAGAAATATGCTCCCGATTTTAAACATTAATATCTCCATGACTTTTTAAGTGAAATACAACTGTAATGTTGAAGTGTTGCTCAAATATTGATTCAATACATTACCTCGGGCTGACCAATTCATTTCATCAAGTTCCTCGAGATATTCATATACTTCCTGTGAAAGAGCCAATTCCGAGTATTTGATCATTTCTGGGCACTTCCTTTCTATTTATGATTGGTTAGTTGCACAAACAACAAAGGTGATCGGTGCATTCAAACTATTCAACAGGAAGTTTACAATTATACTAGGAAGTGTATGAATATCTCGAGGAACTTGGTGGAATGAATTGATCAGCCCGAGGTAATGTATTGAATCAATATTTGAGCAACACTTCAATTGGAACGACAGTAAATGTATAATAAAACAATTATTGGATTCGGTTTTCGCATGATATCAAGAATTATTCAGACCTCGGTCTATGTTATCCGCCTCAGCTTCGCTTCGGCAGATAACATTGACCTCGGTCTGAATAATTCTTGATATCATGCGAAAACCGAATCCAATAATTGCTTAATGTACTAGGGCATCCGAAGGGGGTAGGGGGTTAACTTCCTATTTCCTCCGTGGGGGGGGGTATGGATGTTTTCTGGAATGACCCAGTACTTCATTGTGCACAGAATGACGAAGACAAATTATGCTATATGTTAAAGAAAGCAATGTTGTCCCAAACGTTGTCTATTGACCTTGTTTACATACAATAAGTTCTATTTAAAGTAACACACCTGATTGGATAATAAAATTAGAAAGCCACTGAAGTGCACAATATTATATCTACTGTATTTATACAACTACATCACTGTGCAGCATTAGTGACAAATGGCCACAGACTGTTATCCTTCCACCACGAGGGGGGGGGGGCAGTCTATAGAAAATCATAAATAAAAACAATCCTAAATCATGCCTACTAAAAACTTATTCAACCCTAACAACCCAACACAGCATGTAGTTGTATAAGAACTCTATTATTTTCTAGATCAAAAAATTTACAATCTATATATTATACATTACATATTAGATATAAACTAGTTGGGCCATTTATAGAAAATCATAAATGAAAATAAAACAAAAATCCTAAATCATGCCTACTAAAAACTTATTCAAATTCCTATAAACATAGCATGTAGTTGTAAGAAGCATGTTTCGTGATATATTTATGCCGCAATTTTTGCATGTTTTAAATTAAACATGCATCATTTTTACAGATTTCAGTCCGCCATATTTTTAGATTGTTACCCTGCGCAATATTGTTTCCACTTAATTAGGCAGCCTTACTTTGTTCCTATTCATAGGGAACCCCCATTTTATCACTATTATAAATATCCACTAACCTTACAACATCATCCTTCTTTAGTAATTTAAGGTAAGCAATCGTACCAATTTATATAAGATATTTGCCCAAGATATCCCTTGTCATATTGCACATTTGCCCAAGATATCCACCAAGAAAATGCACACGGTGTAGGTTTGCCAGCGACACATCGCCATCCATCCATTACAATGCCTGATGTCTCCTTGCAACAACCAGGACGAGCAGAAAAGAATGCATTCACTAAAATGACAAATTTTATAACATATTTAGCTTCAAAATCCCTATGCTTTATGCACTCATCTCTCTATTAAATTATTTAAACTAAATTTCACAAAACATTAATTTAAGGTATAATTCAATATTTTATCCCAGAACAAACATCAAACGCAAAGCAACTTGCAACGGCAAGATATAGAGCTGCAACATGCCCTAAACTTAATGAATATAATTTACTCTCTGGGATGCCAATTTCTGTTTTAGCATAAAAATACAGACTTCTGATTGGTGTGGGTATTTACAAAAGAATCTCCCTGAATGGAGAATAGATTGAATGCAGCATACAAAATTATTATTCCAAATGTATAATTTCTATGCCAAAAAGATTTATATTGGCAAATATAAAATGACCAAAACATTTGGGTCAAATGCAAAGGGGGACCACAGGCAAGAATCAAGGTCTAGCCAGCTGAGCCACAGATTAAGTGAAGACAATCTGTCTATATCTGCATATTTGAATGACTGGAACGTTTATATGCAGATGAAACTTGAGAAAGATAAGTAATTCTTTATCTTAACGTATTAAACATATATTTATAACAACTTCATTGATTGTTAAACAAGATAAGTTTATTTAATCTGTATCTATCACTTTGTTTGCTTTCGTTGACGACTTGTTCTGTGTATTTCTTGCCGAATGCGAATAATCGCGACATGAACATGAAATACTTGTCCGCGAAAACTTTCTTAATGTCTTTAATGTGTATATTTGTTCTTTTGTACCTTTAAAACTTAATAAATACTCTACTACAGAACATAATTAAACTGTGGTTGGTAGTTTGATCTTGTTAGAATACCTTTTTTCCTAACTTTCAGACGAATAAATTGGAAAACGAATGAGCAAAATAGGGAAATTCACACAAATACTTATGATTAGAACACGGCAAGCTCCACTCCTCGCTCAACGTTTTTTTTCAAAAAAGGAAATTTAATTATGAATTCTACACAAATAAATTAAAAATATTTTACTCTAGAGTTTTGAAGGATGTTTTTATTGTAAAAAATGTACTGGTAGGTGCATTTTACGTCGTTTTAAATCATGTTTTAGTGCATTTTTTTACCCAGTTTTGGAAATTTAAAAAACCCGCGTTCATTTCTGTTACGTGAAAAGACTGGGCATGACAACAGTGGGCATGCCTGGGCATTAGGCTGTTGCGGTATTTGAAAAAAAACGAAAACCGATACGGGAAAAAAAATTACCGATAACACCGATATTTTTTGTGATTGAATTTTGCTTAGCTAATTTTATGCAAAATTTGCTTAATTTTATGCAAAATTTGCTTAATTTTATGCAAAATTTTCTGTTTTCAAATGATGCCAAACAGCCACGATATAACAACTTTGACTCCTCGGGTGCGTGATATTTTCACTAAAGTGTGAGGCCAGTGATCAGTAGCCTGTGAAATGTCCACTTTAAGAATTGAAAATGCATATTACTTATTAGCATTGATTACCGCATCGCCTGAATCATGTGTGATATTTTTGACCGGGAAATTGTTTCAAAACATTTTATTCAACTGCGAGTTCGAAACAAAGATCGTCCTATCTCACTAGGTAAACAATGGGTCAATGTCCAATGTCAATGAGGTTAGTTTTTGTTTTTCTAAAACATTTGTAATCCACCGTTGTTTACGTTCTAAAAGTTCACTTTTTGATAAGCGAAATGACATATTACACCTTGCAACGCCAACGTATAAACAAACACGTTTTAGATCACGCTCTAACCTTAATTTACAGATTTTTCCGCAGAGTTATGCACCTATCAATGTTAATCCCGAGGGAGGGGGGGGGGTCGGGCAAGGGGTGGGGATTTGACATTTTTACAAAAAAAAATGTCAAATGCCACTCCCTCGGGAGAAAATTCCTGGGCAAAATTCCCCACCCCCGGGATGAAATTGTATTACTGAAGTATTTGGTTTCTGGTGCACTCTATATGTCAGGTGATAGGGAAATTACACAAATACATTTGGCGGTATAACTTAAAAGTATAACAAACATAAAGAACGTTTCAAAATAACTTAAAATACTCATTAATAATTTATATACCTTGCGCCACACCATGGTGTAGTGTAGATCTAGTGTAGTGGACTAGAACACAGGCTAATAAAACACAGTATTCTTATATAATTATATTGTCAGTATTCTAAATTGTTCGCCCTAATTAGTATTCTTTTGTAGTCGTATTTTAAGTTGTGCGCCTTGCGTTTGATATCTGATAAAACACACTCCTACTCGTGTTTTAAATAGTACATAACGTGAACTTTTAATATACAAGTATAAATCGATATTAATATAATTATAAAATGGCTTTTAAGTGTTTATTTCTTGTCCAGAAATCTCCATATTTCTTGTAAAAACAACGCGCGAGACAGCGAGCGATAAACTAGTGCCCAGTCTTCAGTTTGTTCCTGACTCTTCCACAGTCCCTCGTTACCTTTTAGTGCGGGAGGATATGCCCGTTCGCGGGTTAGGCGTTGACAGCTACAACGCGGGCGACTGGGGACGAGTCAGAGTTTGTTCTAAAATTGGCTCAGGTTTCTTCAGTATATCGTCTGAGATCACTGTTAATCTGTCAAAAATCCCCACCCTCGGGCCACGTAGAAAAAAGTGTCAGTCCAAATCCCGACCCATGGGACCACCTGATTGATCAAATCCCCACCCTTTGCCTGACCCCCCCCCCCCTTGGGGTTAACATTGATAGGTGCATTAGCACATTGATCGTCTTTGTCGTTCTGAAATAACTCCAATCAGCGCTTGAAAAAGTTTGATATGACGTTTAAATATACAAACATAAACGTGATATAGATAATACCAAAAAATATCGATATTCCGATATATCGAAAATTTCAATATCGAGTAATCGGTATTTATAAAAAAACCCGATAATTATCGGTATATCGATATACCGCAACAGCCTACTGGGCATGACAACAGTGGGCATGGCTTCACATTTCCGGCTGGAGGTATCGTTCCAGTTATTTTTAGTTCAATGGGTATATCTTCCTATTCTGTGACTAGGCGTACTGTTCCAGTACTTCGTATTAATGTACAACTAAATGAATTAATTATTAAAAAGTAAACAGACCTTTAAACTGAAGAACTTGATTGGCTTGTATACATTGGTTTCTTTGTCATATAGTTCAATTGCTGTTGCTTGTAAATGTTTTATAAACCAGTACTGCGAAGTAGCGAAATTTCGGGCCGTCTTTCACAACAAATAACATCACAATAACTGCACATCATTTTCTCTTTAATACAGAATCATTTTCCCCGTCCATTGAGTTATAATTTCCAAAACGAACCAGTCGCTATAACGTAAAATAAGCGGGTATTTGTGAACAAAAATGCCCTTTGATATGACACGAGGTAACCAGCGCCATCTTGTCTTCTCCAAACATTACAGATTTTCCCGCCAAAACCCGCCCCCAAAGTCCCGTATGTACCTGACGTCACAAGTGTCATCGACGGGGGGGGGGACTACCATATTTGGTGGTAAAATTTTTTCAAAAATACGCACTAAATCCAATTTTAATCTCTTTACCTTCGCTACTTTTGCTTTCCACATGCCAACAAAACTAGCTTCTCAGCACATACATAGCATACGCTTTATAAAATACTTAAAAAAATGGACCTAAACAATATTGGAGCGACAACAATTTTGGAAAGTTTCTCCGGAAATTTTTCTCACTTGATGAAAAAACTTTTTCATCTCTTTTTTTCTTTTTTTCACATTATTGTACGTTGGAACAGCACTATAGTATCAATAGTATCAATATATATATATAGCCTTAGAACAACGGTTTTCAACTGGTTTTCTCATGTGTCCCCGATTTCACATGATTGAATTACCACGTCCCCTGAAAAGAAATTGCCCACTGAAGTCTATCAAAAACACGAATTTCGAAATAGTTAGTAAAATAGTAAATGATTTAAATTTAAATAATAGATACAAAGTCAAGCAAACATGTTTATAGTGCAAACTATTGTATTCAACTATTGTATTCAACTATTGTTTTCTCAGTCCTAGACCAGTTTGTGTCCCCTAGGAATTTGCCAAATGTCCCCTCTCGGGGACATGTCCCCCAAGTTGAAAACCCATGCCTTAGAATGTTATCAGCCTAGTCCCAGCTCTCTCTCTATTCGCTGCTTTGATATATTTAAATAAGTCTTAAAAGTTTTATACCTGGTGACGTCACACGTAGGTCCCAGTCTCGTACTACATCCACTTTTTTCTGGCGCTTGCTTCAGAACGACTGGGACTAGGCTGGAATGTTATATATTTTATGGCAATATTTTATAAAAATTTCATCGGCAAGTTGCTGAATATTTCAAAAGTATCAACAATTAATATACAATTACTTTATGGTTTCCGTGTTTGGATGGCCTGATCCAAACACGCGGGAATGTTGCGAGAGTTAAGAAAAGCGAGCGAAATCACGAGCCGAAGGCGAGTGATTTTGCCCGCTTTTCTTAACTCGAGCAACATTCCCAAGTGTTTGGATCAGTCCATCCAAACACGGAAACCATAAAGTAATTGTTTTATAAAATAACAACACGGTAGTCTTCCGTGTGTTATATACATGTTATTTTATAATAATGTTTCCAAGACCTCTCTGAAAATCGGAAGCAAGTCATTAAAATGATATAATTATATGTTCTATTTCATTTCAAAAAGCAAACAAATGTTCCTCTTTTGTTACGATAGCACTGAATACCACGAGGGCATTTCATCTCTGATTTTCTTCAAATGATTTGGATTAAATTCAATTAAACAACTGCAAAAAAATAAACTAGGGAACCAAGGATAGTGTAAAGTTTCAAATTGAATAAGATCGGGAAGAACTGCGTAGGGGCTAGCGGGTTAATAGGTTTGCTGAACAATTAGGCCAAACAACGTCACATTAGGCCTTTGTTTTTTTTTGTCTTAGCGTGTTTTTTTTTTGTTTTATTTGTTTTCAATAACGGCACTAATACGATTTGGCCTAATTCTTCATCTAACATACCAACCCTGCACGTTACTCAAAAATGTGGATTAGAACAAGGTTTTTGTTATATCCTCAGAAATGCACTGTTATACAACTCAAACTCAACTTTTAATGTCCTTAGAAAACTGAATAACAACCTTTCCTTTATCGCTCTCGCACATGTTCCTAAAACTCCCAAAGCGCATGCGCAATATATCACAGTTTTTACGAGAGAAACAATTTATTGTCACTTCCTTCGCTGTGTCTCGTGGAACTGGTACAATTTATTTATTTATTGTGATGCTACACGAGACAACTCGAAATTTAAATTCTTTCACCAGCAACCAAATTTTGTATATTCTAAAACTACAATTGCATTGGGAGCTGTCGCTGAAAGCAGAGTCTTAGCTAGGATTTTAGATCTTGGGCGTGTTTCTAATGACCAGGGCGTGCACATGTCAATTACCTTGAATAGCAAAATCACGGTTCTAGTTAAGCTTGCCAACAATAATGCTTGTGGTTGTTCTATGCTTTGCAACCAAATACAAGGCGAGCATACACTCATATTGCGCACCGACATTAAAATATTAAGTTATTTCAGCAACTCTTGGGGTTATTTAAGGTTACTTCACATGATGAACGTGCGTTTTAGTCTATTGAACATGGCGCAACGAATTTTAGGTGTATCTTTACCAAATTTTTAGTGAAGAAAGCCAATAAAATGCTGATTTCGAAAATCTTCATTTGATGGGTGTTCTGTTTAAACATGTCCAGTATTGGCTGACTAAAGAAATACATAAGTATCCCATAAAAATCAAAATATATTTATAGTTTACCTCAACGTTTGTCTACATATATCGATTTGAACCTTCATAGGTAAGGTAAAAAAAACGTGTGCGGAAAATTTCTCTTCTTCAATGGTTTTTCTGATATCACGTTTTCTTTGACAACTTCGTGAATTGTCAGTGACAAATCCAAGAATCAGGGCATATCAGAAAAACCACTAAAGAAGAGAAATTTTCCGCACACGTTTTTTTTACCATGCCTATGAAGATTTGAATTGCGATATCTAGACAACCGTTGAGGTAAACTATAAAAATATTTTGATTTTTTTATGAAGGTACCTACATATTTACTCAGTCAGCCAATACTGAAAATGTTTAAACAGAACACCCATCAAATGAAAATTTTCGAAATCAGCATTTTCCTGGCTTTCTTCACTGAAAATGTGGTAAAGTTACACCTAAAATTCATTGAGCAATGTCCAATAGACTAAAACGCACGTTCATCGTGTGAAGTAACCTTAAAACCACTTTAACACCATACAGTTCCCATTATCCATCAAAACATTACAACATCACGGATCAGTTTTGCCAATTTCAACAACTACAGTAGATTTTCCAAACTTTCTCACGACGTAAATAGGAAGAAATTATGTCTGTTGTTAGCAGTAACACTATATTTTATGAACCTACACGGCCTTATATAAATAATGAAGCCGCGTTCATTTATCTAGCCGTGTTTTTCCACTTTCGGCCGCGATAACACGGCCAACACGGCCCTCTAGCTAAGACCCTGGCTGAAAGTATCCCCATGAGGCTACTGATATACTAAACTTGTTTAAAACTATCAGCGCCCATATTGCACATTTAACTATTGTCTCAGTGACACTCTTTAATTGAAATAGCTGTATAACTACGTATACAGTGTGTCCCAAAAAAGTACCCTCTATAGAAAGTATCTATCCTATTGTTATAAGGGTACTTTTTTGGGGACACGCTGTAGTTAATATGACGTTGCAACCCATTACAAAAAACATAAATCCAAAATAGTCCGTGTGTTGTGACCCGATATCGTTCACTTTCATTAAGCATGTCTTAGATCTGAAATATTTTTACGGGAACTAACACTTTCGAACACGCTGAATTCAAATCCGAAAAGTTCCCACTCCGTAGACCCGCAGTTTTCACAAAATGCTATTTTATCTTCACTAATTTCACAACAAATTTTTTCATTGTTCAACGATACGGATCGATGACGATACACGATTATGTCACTCAAAAGGACGAATTTCTATTAACCATTCTTTCTTTTAACAAATGATCGGTTTTGCTCGAATAATTTTGAGTTATGTAATCTTATGCGTGTTGGACGTAAACAACATATCTTGTCTATAACTTTGAGAAGGTACAGATAACGCTTTCAAAAATCCTCAGTTCTAGAGCTATCTCTATAAAATCACAATGACGTTAATGTCAAGTCTTTTAGCTATGTCACTGGCCTGAAAAATTACTCTTTTAACGCGATCAAGATATTTAAAACAAAAGTAACGCGAAGCCAACGTAACGGCAAAGATAACGCTAAAACGAAATATTGTCGAATGGTTGCAGGTAGAAGACTTACGACAGGATCAATCTTAAATAACCTTAAACTATAAGAATAAATGTTCACATCAAAGACAAAGATCAGTCACAAAGTATAAAATACGCTCTGTAAACTTACCGCGAAGTGGAGAAATGTGTGCCTGAGCTGTTTATTTGATGATTTCGACGTATATAGAAGCCCTCTTTCCAATAATACTCGCTGATCGCACAGCATAACACCAACTGATGTAATAGTTCAAATGCAATGATAAGTTATCTCTTGAATTACGTCTTGGAAACAGTGTTGGAAATTTCAGTGCTGATCCATTACATATAGATTACCGTTTTATATCTTTGTATAAAACATTTTGATCGCATGTAAGGAATTATTTCTCAGCCCAGAGACATAGCCCAAAGACTTGACATTAACGTCCTTGTGATTTTATAGAAATAGATCCAGAACTAAGGATATTAGAAGAAATTATCTGTACCTTCTCAAAGTTGTAGACAAGATATGTTGTTTACGTCCAACACGCATAAGATTACATAACTCAAAATGATTCGAGCGAAACCGGTCTTTTGTTAAAAGGAAGAATGGTTAATAGAAATTGGTCCTTTTGAGTGACATAATCGTGTATCGTCATCGATCCGTGATGTTGAACAATGAAAAAATTTGTTGTGAAATTAGTGAAGATAAAATAGCATTTTGTGAAAAAACTGCGGGTCTACGGAGTGGGAACTTTTCGGATTTGAACTCAGCGTGTTCGAAAGTGTTAGTTCCCGTAAAAATATTTCAGATCTAAGACATGCTTAATGAAAATCGTTTTCTAGGCACTTTTCGAGGTCACAACACACGGACTAAAACACAGACACATAAAAATGAGGCGAAAAAACTCATTTAAATGACGCATTTTATCCCCATATCCGTTCCGCACCCGCTCCATGGATCCGCTAGGTTCCGCATCCGCATTTTAACTTAATTGTGACATGTTTCTCAATAACAAGTCTCAATGACCTTTGACTTTATATTGCCAAGATCATGTTTTTTTTTATATGAGTCATTTTCAGCTTTTCGCAAGTATTCAATAATGTCACTTTAGATGTCAATAATTTCACAGTTACAGCAGAGTTTACAGCAGTTTTGATAAAGCTTTGATACAGATAGATTCTCGTAAGATCTGGTGATGTTCTCGTTGCATTTGAATATTGCATTGTGCCATTGAACATAGCATCGTCACGTCATCGTAGGTCATCTACGGTTTGATAGCGCATGCGCATTTGCGCTGCTAAAGAAAAAATCGAGTGTTCCGGGGTAAAGATCTTTTACACAACATGAGAAGCGAATGTTATAAAATTTACAAAAAATTACAATAACGACAACCACTCCTCAAAATTTTTGTGAACTTGGCAAAAGGACAAAAGAATATTTAAATAAGACAACTGAAATTGCCTAAATAACCTTCAAAGCACTAAGTACAATAAATCACTACGAACATATATCGTATACACCCCCCCGGAAAGTTTACACTATTATGCCTGATCCCCGACTCATATGAATTTTCCCCACTCATCACAATACTTGTCAAGTTTCGAAGAAACTTGACACTAAAAACGAAAGTAACTTTATATTTTTGTAAATTTTTGTTTATGTTAAACTTCACGTCTGTTTTCCGTATATTTTGCGAATTAAATAAGTTTAAACACATGGTCCTTCGTGTCGGATAGAACAAAAGTTTAGTACTTAACGATTGGCGTTAATAAATAGTGTTTATTGCTTGTTGGAAGCATGTCGAAAGAGCTAGAAGGCGTGAAAAAGAAGCGACGTTTTATGAGGAAGTCGGTGACGGACAGTTTAAAGTTGATTGATGAAGCGCTTGCAGAGGAAAATAGTCATGCTAGAGTTCAGGTACTGAAAGATAATATTTTAAGTAAATGGAATGATTTAACAGAGGTACAAGCCTCGCTTTCTATATATTTGGAAGACAGTGAAATTGATAGTGAATGTGCAGCACACAATGAGTATGAAATGAGAGTTATGGATTATATGGCTAGAATGACAAAGTATTGAAGTGTTAATACACATGCTGAGAACAGCAATGGGTCTAACGAGAGTGGGTCAAGTTTGGGGTCCACATGTAAAGTTCAAGTTAGACTGCCAAAGATTGAATTACCAACATTTGATGGGGATATATTGTGTTGGCAGTCATACTATCAGTCTGTTAAAGTGTCCATTGCGGATAATAGTGCTTTAGCTGATGTGCAAAAACTAGAGTACATTATGCGATCACTGAAAGGTGTAGCTGCTGTGTCGGTTAAGGGATTTTCAATAGTGGCTGAGAATTATGAATCTGTTTTGTCAACTCTGAAGGAAAGATTTGGTCATTCAAGGTTGATCTTAGATGCCCATATGAGGGGTTTGATCCATTTACCCAGATTGAGTGCTGAAGATGCAACATCTATGAGAGTGTTTTATGATAAAGTAGTCGGGCATGTTCGCTCGGTTGAGTCAATGGGAGAGAAGTACAGCTCTGAAACCTTGGCACCAGTATTGGTTCCTTTGATTGTTGATAAGCTACCAAAAAAACTTGTGGAAAAGTGGGAGCTTGAAATTGGAGATAAGAAAGAGGACTGTTTGCCTATAAAAACACTCTTTACTTTCTTAGAGCAAGTCATAAGGGCAAAGGAATCTAGTACACAAGCCCCTAATGTAGAATCCAAACCTCCAAAGAATATTTCTTTGAAGGAAGGATTTCACAAAAATCCATCATTTAGAAGGTCTTCAACATCAGCGTTGTGTTCGTCTACTCAAACTCAAGAAAAAGAGTGTGTTGTTTGTGGTAAGGATCACAATGTGTGGTCTTGCATTAACTTCCTTTCATTGACAGTGAAAGAGAGATTCCGGAAAGTTAGTGCTAAAGGTCTGTGTTTCCTGTGTTTGGAAGGTGGTCATAGGTCGAACAGCTGTAGTCGAAAGACATTGTGTAAGCGTTGTAGAGGTCGTCACCATCACCTTCTCCACACAGACCAGCTGCCCCCAAATAGAACACATGCAGACAAGACTGAAGCCACAGAAGGTCAGTCTGCAAGTCAAGAGGATGCATCAAAGAATGTTTCAAAGAATGTAACAGCCAATTCAGTTGGAACTGATGACATTGGAAAGGTGATTCTACAAACAGTCCCAGCTGTTTTGTGTGGTTCTAATGGGAACTCAAAGGTTGTTCGCTGTTTTCTTGATTCAGGTTCACAAACCTCCTTTATAAAGCAAAGTGTTATAGAAGAGTTAGGTCTCGATGGACCTAGTGTTAAAATTTCTGTGTCTGGCTTTGGTGGAAAGCAAGATAAAGCATGTCTTCGAAAGAGAATATCCTGCACACTAGCACCTGTGGACAGGCCCAGGTGTTCACGAGAGTTTGAAGCACTCACCACTGCAGAGATATGTCATCCAGCTGATGCGGTCGAAACTGAAGAAAAAAAATTAAAAAAAAGAAAATAAAACTGAAGAAACTGTTTTGAACAATTTTAAGGAATCGTTGACCTTTAAGGACGGACGTTATGAAGTTTCCATACCTTGGAAAGAAAACCAAGTGACATTGAAGAGCAATTATATTCAAGCAGAAAGAAGGCTGTATAGTTTGGAGAAAAGGCTTCTTGAAGACCCATTGAAAGCGAAGATTTACCAAGATACCATTAACAAATATGTGGAGGATGGTATTGCAGAAGAAGTACCAGCCAATGAAATCAAGCCAGTTGATAATCGACCAGTATTTTATCTCCCACATCATGCTGTTATTCGGAAGGACAGACAGAAAACTAAAACTAGAGTTGTATTTGATGCGTCTGCCAAAGATAGTGAAGGAACATCACTGAACAGTTGTATCGAAGCTGGTCCAGCTTTACAACCAGATCTATGTGGTATTCTTTTGCGTTTCCGAAAGAAGAAGATCGCTGTTACAAGTGATATTGAGAAAATGTTTTTGCAGATCAGTTTAAGAGAACAAGATCGAGATTCTCATCGGTATTTGTGGCGAGACCTTGATCTTGAAGCATCTCCCAAAGTTTACAGAATGACTAGAGTGACTTTTGGGGTTATTGCCAGTCCATTTTTGGCAATACAGTATGTATTACCCAAGAGCATGTACAGAGAAATAAAGAACTGTATCCTGAAGTGTGTGATGAAATTCTTAAGAATACATATGTTGATGATTTTGCCTTTTGTCGAGACGAAGTTAATGAAGCGAGAGAGCTGCAACAAAGTACGAAGGAGTTGGTGGCGCAGGCGGCATTTAACTTAACCAAGTGGTCAAGTAATTCTCGAGAGCTTTTAGAAGTTATACCTGAAGAAGATAGAGCACCTAACAGTCTCATCAACCTTAACCAAAGTTTTCCAGAGAATTGTTCAATTACGAAAGCTCTTGGTCTGAAATGGGACACAAACAAAGATGCTTTGACATATATAATTGAAATTGGTCAACCACAGATTGAGACATACACAAAGAGACAGGTGGCTTCGTGCGCTGCTAAAGTTTTTGATCCAATTGGATTAATCACACCATTCACTGTGAGATCAAAGATGTTGTTACAAAGTCTGTGGACCCAAGGCATTGGATGGGATGACGAAATACCTACTGAAACCTGCAGAAAATGGACACAATGGCTGAAGGAGATCAACGATCTTGAAAACCTTGCCATTCCACGGTGTTATGTAGAGTTGCCCATGAATCGCTATTCTCGATTAGAACTTCATGCATTTGGTGATGCATCGGAGCTTGCATATGCATCTGCAGTCTATCTACGAGCTTTGTCTGTTGAGGGACATGTTTCAACCAGTCTAGTTATGTCTAAAACCCGAATAGCACCCGTTAAAAGAGTTACCCTGCCGAGATTGGAACTGATGGCTGCAGTTATTACTGCTCGATTGTGCACTTATGTTCGCAATGCGTTGGACTGCCAAATTGATCGTATTGTCTGTTGGACTGATAACTCGTCCACTCTTCACTGGATACGTGGTTCACCTTCACAATGGAAACCATTTGTTGCGAATCGCGTTATGGAAATTCAATCGCTGTTAGATCCATCGGTCTGGAGATACTGCCCTGGACCACAGAACCCGGCTGATGTACCCACTAGAGGAATGTCTTCGAATGAATTGAAAGAAAGTCGGTTATGGTGGGAAGGACCTGCCTGGTTGAGAAGTTCTGAAGAAGAATGGCCAAAGGATCTACGATCGGCATCTTTAAATGAACATGTTGAGATTGAGAGAAAGCATCAAGCCAGTATCAATAGTTATGTCATACAACCACAAGAGATATTTATTGACTTTACCAGATTCAGCAAGTACAATAAGTTATTGAGAACCATAGCATGGATAAAGAGATTTATCCACAATGCTCAAGTTAAGCAGGACGAAAGAAGACAAAATGTCTTAACTGGATTAGAAATCCAAGAGTCAGAACGTTGGTTGGTCAATCGAATCCAAATAGAACGGTTTTCAGAGGAAATTTCGTTGATTCGACAAAGTAAAGCATTGAACGATAGTAAATTAAGAAACTTGAATCCTTTCTTGTGTCAGTCTACCGGTTTGCTTCGTGTTGGTGGCCGAATCCATAAAGCTGAGTTGCCCGAGGAGGAGAAACATCCCATTATTTTACCTAGTGATCATCCTGCTGTAGAATTATTTGTTCAAGCTATTCACCGTCGTGAAATGCATGCTGGCGTTGAGCATACATTGTCAGTGGTCCGTCAAAGATTTTGGTTGATAAAAGGAAGAGCTACGATCCGCAAAATCGTAAAGAGATGTATAGTGTGTCGTCAGTTTTACACCAAGCCTGTCTCTCAACAAATGGCACCTCTTCCAGCTGACCGAATTGTACCTGCACCTCCATTCACAAACGTTGGTTTGGACTTTGCTGGACCTTTGTATCTTAAGAACCGTGGTGAAAAGGCATATATTTGCCTTTTTACTTGTGCTGTCACTCGTGCAGTACACTTAGAATTGGTAAGCAACATGACAACTGAACGGTTTTTGCTGGCGTTACGACGTATGGTTGTGAGAAGAGGCATGTGTAGTATTATTTGGTCAGATAATGCAAAAACGTTCAAATGTGCTAAAAAAGAGTTACAGAGTTGTTGGCGAATCCTGGAATCCGAAGAAATCCGTACAGCTTTGTCTGAGAAGAAGATTCAATGGAAATTCATAGTACCCAGAGCCCCTTGGTGGGGTGGATTTTATGAACGTCTCGTGAAAAGTGTTAAGTTGCCGCTGAAGAAAATCTTTGGAAATGCAATGTTAGACGCCGAGCAAATGACCACAATTCTGACGGAGATCGAGGCTCAAATTAACAGTCGTCCTCTTACTTACATTGGAGCTGAACCAAATGATTTAAAGGCCCTTACGCCAGCCCAGATTCTCATTGGGAGAAATTTACAGGCGGTTCCAAGCAAAGATACGAAAGTTACGGAGCACACTTCCAACGCCTTAAAGAAACGATTACAATATCATCAACGTTTGGTAAATGGATTTTGGAAGCGATGGAATGCGGAATATCTTAAGTCGTTAACCACTTTGAAGAAATGGATCGATATTGGTCGAAAAATGCATGTTGGTGATGTAGTACTCGTAAGTGAGGATAATGTTCCAAGAGGACAATGGCCGAAAGCCCGTGTTGAGGCAACGCATGAAGGAAGAGAAGGTCTGATCCGATCTGTAATGTTACGTTTGCCCTCAGGCCGCCATACCCGTCGTCCTGTACAAAGACTACACATGTTAGAAACTTGTGATGCTGACATAGCAGCAGGACTAAAGTAAACATTGAACAATAATTAGCTAGTTTGTTGACATTTGTCAGTTAATGAAAGTTGATGCACTTCCTGCATCGGGCGGGAGGATGTTCCAGAGTAGAAACTGATTATTACTGAGAAAGAGACTGTTTCTAGGAACTGCAGGGGCTTGGACTCCCCGAATATGTACAAAACGAAAGTAACTTTATATTTTTGTAAATTTTTGTTTATGTTAAATTTCACGTCTGTTTTCCGTATATTTTGCGAATTAAATAAGTTTAAAAACAGTAATAAACAAGTCAGTCACTCATAAATAGGAAAATAAACATGTATTAATAACACACTTCCATTAACATAGTAAGCTATAAAGACAATGACAGTGTTTCAAATATCGTTCTCTGCTATATTTAAAGACAATGTCAATGTTAAATAACAAAGTGGGATACCGGGCTTATATTCAGGGGGCTAATATTCAGGGGGGCTTATATTTGGAATGAAGTGAGCATTATATTCAGAGGTTTACAGTATACAGTTGAAAAAAGCTTGTATTTTCTTGTCATAGACACACATTTCTGGGTGCATATAGAACAGCTTAAACGTCAGGTTCTCATGTCGATCCAATGGTAATTTGATATCGCTGCCATCACCATAATACCTGGGAACGAGGTTGAATATAGTGTAGCACAGAATGGCCTTGTATGTATCATACTTTGACATAGTAGACATACTATCATGCATGCAGAAATGCCTTGGTCATTCATGTGGAGATATGACTATCACGATAGAATTAGTTACGCCAAGTAACATGTCGTACACGTCAGGTAGCAGCTGAAATATTTTAATATTTGCCATAATATGCCCATAACCTGTTGGCAAAACAACCAAAACATCTTCATCGTTTTACAAATGGCCGAGATACATTTGAATGTCTCGTCTTTTAATGAATATTCAAGCCCTCTTTTCGCTAGAACAGCTTTCATAGCACATTTAGTATTTTCCATTGAATATAATTTAATAGTAGCACGATTTAAAGCACCTTTACACTATATTCTGATGAGAATCTTTGTTTAAAACAATATCGATTGTGAGCGTGTGCCCGCGCGAATTTAGTAAGCGGAATAAACAAAAGCAATAAAAGCGCATGCACCATTTATCTCATTTTGGATAAAAAAATTCGATTTCCCCAGAGTCATGCCACTACCTAACCCGCGAACAGGCATACTCTGGGAACGAGATTGAAAGACAATCGAAATTTGAAGTCTTCGAAAAACCCGCAAGTGTAGGTTTTTTCAACTAATTTAAGGTAACATGGATACGGACGGATGGACAAACGGATGATGGACGGACGGCTTTTAGTTTTTCATAATATGTTATTTAAAGGTCTTATCCGCGTTTTACCCAAATGGATGAAGTCTAAAAAACACTTATTATGCCCTAAAAATATTTTAAAAGTGATTAAATTTTTTTGTCTAACTTGGCTAGGAAATCTATATGCTGGGTAACACTTGAAGAACGTAGCACACAGATGAAAGCTATGCTCATGTACAAGACAACGTTTGTAAATTCTGCTCCAGTTAATCAATATTCGACAAGTTCACATACGATATTCATTCGAATTCGATTTAAACTAAATACAATAATTAAACGTTAAATAATGGAAAAATTACTATCTATAAATGAATAGTTCCTTTACCTTGTCGTTGAGACATTCTAATGTTCTAAATATTAGTAAAAGTTCTATTTTTTCCCCCCTTTTTACTGTGTAATGTCAAATAACCAATGTTAGAAAAACATGGCGGCCGGCCGCGTTATATATTCGCCATGAAGAAGCATGGGCACTAGTTCCGACCACGGCCGACTGTTCACGAAAGTTCGCGATTATAAATAAGTTAATTATGCATTATTTACACTCTCCCCCCCCAAATCTTCTCTAAGATTTTTGTTCAATTTCTCGTATCAAATCCTCTTCTAACAGGCATAACTTTCTTATGTCCCTTCGATAATTCCTGTCGCAGTACGCACAAACACTTCACGTACAACTCCAAAGCTATTTGGAAAGACATGTTCAACAATTCCCTTTGACCATTTTCCTCTTGGAAGATTGTTGTCCACCACTAGTACAAGTTGACCTTCCTTGAAATTTGGACGTCGTTGAAACCACCTTTGTCTCTCTTGCAGTGGTGTAGCTGGCTGAAAATAATCGTCCCGCCGAAGTTTCAAAACACCTCTATTTAAACAAGAGTATTTTGCCTTGGTAAAATACAAAAAAATTGTATAGCCCGATGCACATGCAAATCACGCTACACGAGTAATTTGACCTTTATAATTGATTTCCGACGTTTCCCGAGTGCTAGGGTGTAAACATCGCATTGTTTTGGCTATTTGAACTTGAACCTCCGGTCAAAGCTCTCGCGTAAAATTTAGATATTTTGAAATACCAAAATAAAAGATGCAAATCTGCAGATACAAGCTTGAACACAACACTCTAAATAGTGTGTTAGATTGTGATTCGAACAAGACTAATACCAAAAAGAAACGTTGAAAGTGGCCAAAGTTATATAATTTCGGCGAAAGGTATGGCTTAATAATAGTGATACATTGTTTACATTGTTCGAGTATATTGTATAGGTATACGTTAGTTCACACTGTCCGAGTATTGGCTAGTTTATAATATATGGCTATATTACATTGTTCAATCTTTCAAGCTGAATTTTTTGGTGGTATTTTCGTATTTCTACTGCAAATACTCGCGGAGTTCTTTATTATATGGAATTGACTTGACAACCTCCGCCTTTATAAAATAGCGGGACTTGGCATTAAAAACAGCCGTTCTGAGCATGCGCTGCACCAATTATCCAATCAGAAACCAGAATTTCTTTTATAGGATAGTATTGCATATTCCGCCATATGAAAATCAGCGGAACACGAGACATGCGATTATACAAATTGCGTGAGTAAGCAATCAATTGCGTGGAAATTAGCAATTTTGGGTTTCAGAGGTCAAAGAGCAGACAGCAACATTGGTAAACTTTAAATAAATAAATGAAAGCACTGAAATATTTATAAATTTTCAGAATAAGAAAAGCTGTGAATTCGGCTTCACTATAAAACATTTCCTCACTTTTTTTTTAAATTTCTAGTCCCGCCCGGCAGGACAGCAGGACCGCTAGCTACGCCACTGCTCTCTTGAAGGGTTGGCACATATTCCTTCATCCATCTCGACCAAAACTCATTTGCAAGAACGTTAACGTGTTTCCATCTCGCAGCATACTGATCGATTTTCTTGAACTCTCCTGGTGCCACGCTAAGGTTGTCCCGTAATAACAAAATATGATTCGGCGTTAAAGCTTCAAGATCATCTGAAACTCATGTGATCGGGCGGTTATTCATAATCTTCTCTACCTCTGTTAGGAATGTGACCAATGTCTCGTCCTCAAGCAAGCGTTCGCCAATCATTGACCTAAGCATTCTTCTCAGGGAATGAATTAAACGGTCCCACACACCACCTTGATGGCTTGCCGCTGGTGGGTTGAAATGCCAATGTATTTTACTTTGGAGAAAATGACCTTGGATCTTTTCTTTGTTCCATGCTTTCAAGGCCTTCATAACATGTTGCTCGGCTCCACGAAAATTTGTGCCGTTGTCACTATAAATTATTCTTGGAGGCCCTCTTCTAGCAATGAACCTTGTTACAGCATTTATGAAGCTGTCCATAGATAAATCTTTTGCAACTTCGACATGAACTGCTATATACCTCAAACAGGTGAATAATTATGCAACCGTAATGCTTCGCCAATTTTGGATTCCTCCTCGTCGCTCTTGTATTCGGTCCTACATGAACATTTAACTCATTAACGCCCAATGCGTCCGTATGCGCCCTGAGATTGACAAGTGGGTAACGGACAATGTGCCCGCATGCGCCCTCAAATGACACCTCAACTTGCGGGCATGATATTTGAGCATGTGTTTATCGGGTTGCCTAGCAACGGATTTGAAAATAGAACGTGAAATTCGAGCTTTTCAACAGTGTATCATGCAAGAAAATTGGTCAGAAACTCGCAAAGTTTTTCAAGTTTAAAACCTTAGTTTTTCAAAAATAATGAATAATGGAGATATTGTTGCAAAGAAGGATTTTACAGCAAGTTTTAAAAGCGAAAAAAGAAGAGGTTTTCAGATGATATACAACGAAAATTTGGCATGAAAGGAAAGCGAATGTATTGACGTTTTGGGCCAAGTTTTTCTGTGAACCTTGCGCGAGATTTTCAGCCAAAAAGATGAGGATTTCTCCAAACTTTATTAAAAATAGAAGTCGGAAATCACAAGAAAGATGAACACGGAACACAAGTGAGCAGATACGATTTTTTAAAGGGTATTTTTGAATAGAAATATGCGATCAAACACTCACAAAATTTGACCGCATTAATGTTGGTTGAATCTAGTTTAAAGTTATCTTTTTAGATGAACTGTTTATGCAAATTTGGGCACAATTTGGACTGTTTTCGTAACCCCATTGTTGGTCTTCTTTTTCAAGTTGTTATTTTAGCTAAAGTATGTTTCAAACGACACCAGATTGTGCGTACGTGCCCTTTTTTGACCTTTTTGGCAAGAATACTTCGAGTATTAAATTACACTAAATAAGTAGGATATTCCAAAGTCACTGTTATATCTATTTTCATCAATTTAGTCTTAAAATGACAACTCGTTTCAGACATATTGTGGCTTAAAATAAGTGTATTGAATAAACGCGCTTGCTTGCCGCGTGCGAATTCTCAAAAAGTCCGCACTTAATAATAATAATAATAATAATGATTTAATAGCATTTCCACATAGTGGCTCTTCTATGCTACAAGTGAGTTTGATTATAAGATAACAAAGTATACAATATATACAACGGAGTACATAATACGACACAACAAATATTACAATACGTAGTATGTTGTACATTACAGTATTTAACAATTGACATTATTAGTATTTAACAATTGACATACACAGTACAATACAGTTTACGACGTGTCACTAATTCTGTTTTGTTTGTTTTTTCTTGGTTTTTTTTTGTCACTAATTCTGTTTTTTTTACTTGAGTTGTAAAGCTTTCAAAATGCTTTTTTACTGGTTTTTATATCCCCTATAAAACTTTAAATCGATAAAGCAGATAATGTTGATGAAAAATCATTTTCTAGTAACTACACATTGAATCAGAAGAAAAAGTTATCAAAATAGGTCGCGACGGTTGTTTGGCAAAATGTCGCTTCTCTCTGAAATGGCTTCCTTTGCGGGAAGCCATGAAATTGAAGTCCTAACAAAAACTAACCTTAGCAGTTCTTTTGGGCCCATTGCTCACTTATTTATCATGAAATCGCTTCACTAGAACATTTTTAATACTGTCTATGGAAAACTTTGTAATTTTCTGAACTAAAAGTTTATGGTTTCGAGGTGTTTATTTTATAAAATAGCACGTGCGACAAAATGGCACTTTTGTGGTTTCTCACGTCTGACAAACAACCAAAGATGAAAGTCCTTATTTCACCTTTTTATAGCTATGTGGAATACCTGAATATTAGGTTATCTTTTTCATGTGAGTATATAGATAACATTTCTACACAATAGTCCTTATGAAGGCTTATTTCAAACTAAAAAAAAGCGATTGTTTTTCAGAGCCAGACTTCAAAAGAGAACGCGTGTCTGACATTTTATAGCAGCCTACATTGGCACGCAAAATAATTTTGGCTAAAAACCGTTGCTTTTCCAACAAAAACATGAGAAAATTGAGCTAAAATTCTTACCTGATGTATGTTTAAAATGTTTTTCTTTTTATGGTGTTTTTCTTTTTATGGTGTTTTTCAGTGCTTTGAGCAGAGAGGTTAATAGCTTTTGGTTTTGTCACCACAATTTGCCTTTGAAAATGTCGGCTGTCATTGTCTGTGTTAAAAACACCTCAGAAAATTCCTATTTTCTCACCTTCCCATCCTTGGTTTATATTGAAAATAAATAGGTTCTAGTACCATATGTCCTTATAAAAACTTGAAAGATGTACAAGCACTGTGTTTTGGCTTGCACACTTTGTTGAATTTGAACACTTAGTTACTGTTCTAAATTTCATGTTGTAAACATCTTGCCCAAAAAAGCAAAGGAGTATATTTTATAATTTTTGATCATTTTCTAATTCATATCCCAATAGATGAAAATTGGTTATAAAATAGATATGTACTAATTTAGTGAATATTTTTTTTTTGGTTTTTATATAAATTTATGTAGATATTGCCCCTTTAGGTGATAAGTGACATGAAAAACAAAATGTCACTGCTTTACAAATAAAAATTCTCATTGAAAAAACTAATGATATATATAGGTATGCAAGTTCATTTAAACTAAATTTGGTCAATCATATATCAATAATATTTGGTTGAAAAGACCAGATTTTTTCATGCAACTGTTTCTGAGATATTGGCATTTTGGTGAAAGCTCATGAATTCAATCACATATTCGCCATTTTGCTTGTCCACTTTGGGGGTAGAAACATTGTAACAGCTTGTGCGTTAATGAGTTAAAGGTCCAAAGTAGTCGATTCCAACGGCAGCAAACGGAAATACGAGTCTGTGCTCGTCTGATGAAACTCTCACTTCTGGTAGTGGTGCTGCCAACTGCTCCCTACTTTCCCAGTAAGACGTCGACAGACGTGACACTTTCGTAATACTCTTCTTACTGTCGAAATTCCGCTCACGATCCAATAATACTGCCTCGATTCTGCGAGCGTTTGCTGTATACCGGTGTGACCATTCTGTAAATGGAAATCTTCAATAATCATTTCTGTAACTCGATGTCGAACTGGCAAGATTATCTGGTGTTTCGCATCATCAGACAAATCTGTACGATTTAGCCGTCCACCAACTTGTAGAACTCCTTCTTTTAACTAGGGATCCAAGGATAGTGTGAAGTTTCAAATTTAAAAAGACACTGCAAGAACTATATAGGGTCGCCGACAACCTAGAAAAGCTGATGGCTTACACTACGAAATAAACAGTTACCAAAGGCATTTCATCTCATTATTTATTGCTTTTAATACGCTCGGCACACGAGTAGCGTGACGTTTGAAACAAGCCTAACACATCAGAAACGTGCCTTGTGAAACTGATGCAATTTATCTATTTATTGTGATGCTACACGCGACAATTCGAAATTTAAATTGTTTCACCAACAACCAAATTTTGCATATACTGAATTTTCATTTGCATTTGCATTTGCAGCTGTCGCTAAAAGCATCCGCACGAGGCTACTGCTATGCTAAATTTATCTAAAACTATAATTGAAATAGCTGTATAAGATATGTTATGAATAATAAGCACTACGTCGTTACATCATTAAAAGGACGCATTTTATCCTCATCCGTTCCGTATTTTGTCCGCATATTCGTTCCGTGGATCCGCTCCATCCGCTTCCTCATTTTAACCTAATTGTGACATGTTTCACAATAACAAGTCTCATTGACCTTTGACTTTTCCCAGTGTCACGTCTATTTTCAGCTTTTCGCATGTGTTGAATACATTAATGTCACTTTAGATTTCAATAGTTTCACAGTTAAGCAGTGTTTAAATTAAAGCAGGTTTGACAAGCTTTGATACAGTTCTGTGTACAGAATACTACAGATTGATTCTCGTAAGATCTGGTAGAGTTATCGTTGCACTGAACACGAGTTTGCACCGTTGACAACGGCGTTGTGCTAGACAGTAAACAAAGAGAAGGTCTGTGACAGTACAAGTTGGCTACATGTACCTCCTTGCTTTTTTCTTCTATTGCATAAAGCTGGTTGGCGAGCAAAGCGATTGGCGATAACACGTTGGCGATAACACATTGGCTATCTCCTCGTCTTTCTTATTTAAATAAGGAGCTCTGACTCAACTGATTTCTTTAGTCTCGCAAGTTATTTTCCTCGTAAACACCGTACAAACGTTTACCCGTTTATGCTTTATTGATCTGGTACAGATCTGATGCAATTTTTCGCTCTTTGTACTGAGTGTAGCCATCTATTCTGTGATGTAGCACCTTATACAGTCAATGACAATGTATAATGAATACACGGTCTAAATAATATCGATGGGCACTTACATATTAATTGATGCCGGTAATGCATAACATAAATTTATATATTGTATTATTGCGTAGAATCTCAAAGATTTTCTCAATATTCATGTCTGAAATGTTTATATACTTGAAAACAACACTGTCTCGCTTCTGCCTACGTACTGTACCTCTGTATAATGAGTATGCCGTGAAAATAATATTGGCACTCAATTGAATGCCTAGAATCAAGATTTTCGACTCAATATTTACGTCTGAAATGTTTATACACTTAACTGCACTGTCTAGGTGGTCTAGCTCCTTCGTAGCTCTGTATGAATATACCGTCTAAATATTATCGGCACTTATTAAATTGAACGCCCGTAATGCATAAGATCACTTTATATATTGTGTAGATTTTCAAAGATTTACTCAATATTCACGTCTGAAATGTTTATATACTTGAAAACAACACTGTCTCGCTTCTGCCTACGTACTGTACCTCTGTATAATGAGAATACCGTGAAAATAATATCGGCACTTAAATTAATGCCTAGAATCAAGATATTCGACTCAATATTTACGTCTGAAATGTTTACACACTTGACTGCACTGTCTAGCTCCTTCCTAGCTCTGTATAATGAATATACCGTCTAAATATTATCGGCACTTAATTGAACGCCCGTAATGCATAAGATCAATTTGTATTTTGCGTAGATTTTCAAAGATTTACTCAATATTCACGTCTGAAATGTTTATACATCTGAAAACAACACTGTCACTCCTTCCTAGCATATCGTCACGCCATCGTGATCTACGGCTTGATAGCGCATGCGCATTTGCGCTACTAAAGAAAAAATCGGGTGTTCCGGGGTAAAGATCCTTTACACAACATGAGAAGCAAATGTTCTAAAATTTACAAAAAATTACAATAACGAAAGCGATTCCTCGATATTTTTGTGAACTTGGCAAAAGGATAACAGAATATGTAAATAAGTTAACTGAAATTGCCTAAATAACCTTCAAAGCACTGACTAAGTACGATAAATCACTACGAACATATATCGTATACACCCCCCGGAAAGTTTACTGTATGACTGAATGAATGAATGACTGACTGATTCGTGTGAATTTCCCCCCAGTCATCACAATACTGTGAAGTTTCGAAGAAACTTCACACTAAAAATGGCTTTAGCTTGAAAATACTGCTTCCATTTCATAAAAATTTTAACCGAAGAACTTTTCCACCCAAGTTCTTGTGAGAACGATTCCTGTTGAACAACTTTGACAATAGTTTTCTCCGCCTCATTAATCTCAGGAACAGATAAGGGTCTAGCTATTTTGCGGGCTGCGGGTCAGTTTTTGCGGGCTGCGGGTTAAAACAATTGCGGGCTGCGGGTTAAAACAATTGCGGGCCGCGGGCCAAATTGCTGGCCTAACAAATTTTTTGTTGCATGCCATATATGGCATGCAACTTTCATATAGCTCTAAATTTTGTGTCGCGGTGAGCGGCGGTGAGCGTACCGGTCACGTGGAAATTCATAAAATACGACAAATACCGAGTTTTTCCGACAAGCAATTCATCACTCATGCTCGAGGAAAGGGAAAGAAAAATGTTTGAGTGTTCGTGGAAAATTTACATAATTGAGCGCCTTAGAAAAATAGATCAAGGTGGTAAAGCTTTGCTGGTTTTAATTTTCCTTATATTCTGTTATTTGTTGTGATTCTGGAGCAGTTGTGCTTGCAATGAATGATTATTTATCAGTCGTTTTTAATATTTAATATATCAAAGTGACTATATGACCGGCAGCCGGTCACAGTTTATCAAATACTAAATGGCCGGCAGTCTAGTGACTAGGGTCTAGCTATTTTGCGGGCTGCGGGTCAGGTTTTGCGGGCTGCGGGTTAAAACAATTGCGGGCCGCGGGCCAAATTGCTGGTCTAACTAATTTTTTGTTGCATGCCATATATGGCATGCAACTTTCATTGGTGAGCGTACCGGTCACGTGGCAAATTCGTAAAATACGACAAATACCGAGTTTTACCGACGAGCATTTCATCACTCATGCTCGAGGAAAGGGAAAGAAAAATGTTCGAGTGTTCGCGGAAAATTTACATAATTGAACGCCTTTAAAAATAGATCAAGGTAGATAAAGCTTTGCTGGTTTTAATTTTCCTTATATTCTGTTATTTGTTGTGATTCTGGAGCAGTTGTGCTCGCAATAAAATATTAATCATAAAATGAATGATTATTTATCAGTCGTTTTTAACATTTATATCGTGAAGCCTGGCTACGCTATCAAAATACTCAATTTTTTATATATACTCAATATATACTATATTGTGTGCAAAACTTCAAAACTACAGTACATTTTGTAAATAACATGAAATATATTAAAATATCAAACAAAATTCTCATTATACTATTGAAATTTAATACAACGAAATAGTATTCTACGTCGATAATTTCAATCATAGTTTAATAATTATTTTCAATCTATAGTAATTCGCCGTTTCCATGTTTTTTTTTTATACTTTCGATAAAGCTACAATAAAGCTAAATTTGTAGGAAATAACATTATTTAGTTATAAAATAGTATAAAAGGAAATCTAACAGTCAATCGCTTTCGATAAAACCTTGACCTTGTTTATATTACCGTCGTTTGCAACTAACGATGAACAGTCGCTCATAAAAACATTGCCTATTCGTGTGAGAATCTTAAGTTTTCTTATTTTGACATAATAGCTATTTTTCAATAAATATATTGATATTAAACTAATTGAATCAATATTTTAAGTTTCAGGCCAGTTGTACCAAAAGTTATAAGCGGTAGCGCATTATAACCAGGGCACAGAAAGGGTCATACAGAAGCCCAATTTCTTGTTTTTTCCTATGATTTTCCAATGATTTTGGCGGTTAGCACTTTTTTCCATCCAGCAAACCGCCCTATCGATTTTCTAAAGTCGTTTTTTTGCGTTTTTTTATTAATTCGATTAGGGTTAGAGTTAGGGTTGGGGTTAGGGTTAAGGGTTAGAGTAGGGACTAGGTGTAGGGTTTGTGTTAGTTACATAGCCATTTAAAGGTCGCTTTCCACTTCAACCGTATCGTACACGCGTAAAAACGCTCAGGTTGATGCAATACTGATGATGTTTTGCTGCCCACATTGTTCATAGCTATCAACAATATTGAACAATATTCAGGCTCAACAACAGTGTTCAATATTGTTGACAAGTGTAAACAATGTGGGCAGCAAAACATTGTTCAATCCTGTTGAGCAGCGGGCTCGGCGTTTTTTGCCGTGTACCGAAACGTAGCGTATTTCTTTGTTTCCTGAGCGCTAGAGTGGAACTAATGATTTCAACACAAAAGAAAATGCTACGATACGGTCAAAGTGGAAAACAGGTTTAACACCTCTTCTCTCTTCCGAAAATGACGTCAGGTCAGTTTGCTGGATGGAAAATAGTGCTACTATTAGGATTGGTGTACAGTTATCCCGGTCGAAACAGGTTTTAATGTCTGGTACGACTCATAAACTGAGATTCCATGATTACAAAAAGAATGAATTTAAGGAAAAATTCCGGTCGATATTGTAACTGGCAATTATAAGGCATGAGGCGGAGTTTCCATCGATCCATGCGCGGTGTTGCAGGTTTCTGGGTCTTGAAGATGCCGAGAAGAGGCTTATGATCCGTGATGATCTGAAAATGTGAGCCGTAGACGTAAAGATGAAAGTGTTCAACTCCCCAAGCGACGGCTAACATTTCGCGTTCCGTCTGCGAGTAACAACTTTCAACGTCAGATAAAGCGCGACTGGCGTAGCTGATGACTTTTCCATCTTGAACGAGAAGGGCAGCGAGACCGACAGGGCTGGCATCGACGATGATTTCAGTTGGCTTGTTTTGATCAAAGTAGGACATTACGTTCTGTCCCGTTAGCGCTGATTTCAGGTTGTTGAGGGACGTTTGTTCGTCGGTCGTCCATTTCCACTCGGCGTCAGTTCGAGTGAGAGCACGTAGTGGAGCAGTGATAGTAGAGTAGTCGGGGATGAATCGAGAGACGTATTGGGACAAACCAAGCAGAGACTTAACTTCGCTGACGTTTTGAGGAGTGCGGGCTTGTTGGATGGAGTCGATTTTCGCAGGATCAGCTTGGACTCCTTTAGCGCTGAAGATATGACCATAGAAACACACTTGGGACTGAGAAAAGTGGCATTTGTGCTTGTTTAAGCGCACGTTGTAATCTGAGAGGCGTTGAAGGACAGCTTGGAGGTTAAGATCATGTTCGAGTTGGTCTTTTCCGTACACAATAATATCATCAGAGATATTCTTGCATCCGGGTAGTCCAGCAAGCAGTTCAGCGATGGCGTTCTGGAATATCTCGGATGCAGCGTTGATACCAAACATCAGGCGCTTGTATCGACATAGCCCAACGTGGGTGCTGAAGGTGGTGATGTGACGACTTTCTGGGGCTAGGGTTAGCTGGTGGTAACCGGAAGCAAGATCAAGGGTGCTAAAAACGGACGCTCCGTTCAAGTCGGCGATGAGGTCATCTAAGGTTGGCATGAGGTGCTTTTCTCTTCCGATTGCCTTGTTGGCTTCACGCATGTCAACACATATACGTATTTCACCTGATTTCTTGGGTACCACCACAATGGGACTTACCCATGGCGTTGGCCCGTCAACGGCTTCAATGATGTCGAGCTGTTCGAGGCGTTTCAGTTCTTGTTCAACGTCTTTGCGTACGTGGAAAGGAATGCGGCGTTGTGGCTGTTGCTTTGGGGTTACAGTGTTTGAGATATGGAGCTTGATTTCTTTCCCTTTAACCTGGCCAATGCCGTCAAACAGATGAGGGAAGGCATGGAGGATGGTTTGACCAGACATGGTGGAATTAACGTTAAGGGTTAATAGGTTGAGTTGTTGGGCGGTAGTGCAACTGAGAAGATTGCCACTGTTGCCTTTTGTGACGTGGAACGTAGCATTAACAGTTGTGGACTTATGACGAACAGAGGTGGACCAACTTCCGAGTAAAGGTAAAGGAGTGGTGGAGCCGTAGGAGTATATTTTGGTGGTGGGAGGGTTTAACATGGCAGAGAGTCGCGTGTTATGGGTGATGGAATTGTAGGTCGCTTCATCAAGGAGGTTTGCAGAAGCACCGGAATCGACAAGGACAAAGATGGGCTGGCCACCAATGTTAACGATGCAAGATGGAGAGGGGCGGAGGGGCGCACTGGATGGCGAAAAGGTGTTGAGGACTTGCGGCTCGGAGTGGATAACAAAGGTATAGGCAGGGTCTTGCTCAGGATCATCAGCTATTTGTTGGACAAAACGAGGGCGTTGCTGGGGTCTGGAGCGACAAACTTTGGCAAAATGTCCATTTTTGCCACAAGAACGACACGTTTTCCCGTTGGCAGGGCAGGAAATAGCATGAGGAAACGGTCCGCCGCAATTTCGACAGAGAGAATGAGTGTGTGGTCGCTGATTGTTGGGAGTGTGGGGCGGAGCATTCGGATCCGGGTGGACAGGATATGGTTTGTTACGTGAGGGAAGGGCATTGACGCTTTGGTCAGTATTGGTAGGTTGAATGTCTCTGGCTTGTCGATCAGTGATCTCAGCTACACGACCGGCTTCGAGAAGGGCTGTAAGACTGCGGTCCTCGCGAAGGGCACGTAGTCTAAGCTTGTGAGAGGTACAGCTGAAGACAATTTGTGTGCGAATTTCTTTGTCAACGTCAGCAAAACCGCAGTGTTTAGCACGCTGTCTAAGCCGGGTATGATACGAAGCTAGGTTTTCATTCGAGCGCTGTTTCGCCTGACGAAATTGATATTCCTCGTAGACCATGTTGACTTTCGGAACGAAATACGTGTTTAAACATTCTACAGCTTTTTTATAATCTTTGTCTTCACCCGTGTCGGGTAGTGTTTCAAAAATATCGTCAACATCTGGGCCAGCGTAGTGTAATAACAACGCTCGTTTCTGGGTAGCATCAGTTATATTCATGCCAACAATTAAGCGTTCAAAGCGAGTAAGCCATTTGGTCCAACGTGGACCAGCATTAGGGTCAAGGTGAACGTCAAACGGTGGAAAAACGGGTAGTGATGTAGCCATACGGACTGAATGTTGTGGCGCGGCGCTGTTGATTCGTGCTTGATATTGACCGCAAATTCGCAATGTCTGTCGTGGAATTTGGCGTGATTTCCTTGCGTCGAAGGACTGTTCAGTAGATATCTGGATTACAGAAGTGGTGTACGCAGTACAGAAGCGATGGATTCGTAAACTTCGTTTTTTGTTTAAGTATCCTCGTCGCCAGATGTTGTGTTTATATTATAACCTCGAATCGAACACACGCACGCACTTGTGTGCAATAATAATGTAATGTGATATTAAGAAATAACTATTATATACAAGCATAAGGTAATTAGTTTAAGATGTAATACGATACTGTATCTAAGGACACTACAAATATGTATCTGAGGATGAGCACTGAATCTGTCCAAAATGTGATGCTATCGATCTGAAGTCTGTCTTTCAACTCTCTCATGATTAGATCATTTACTGATATCAGAACAGTCGCTGCAGTTAATTCCATCTTCGGCACCGTCATTCCGCTTCTGAGTGATTTAACCCTTGATTTCCCATAGATAAAGCTACAATGGATACGACCGTATTCATTAACGAAACGAAAATAAGAAACTGTTCCATAGCCATGCTCTTCCAGCGCATCAGCGAAATGGTGAAGCTCCACTCTTGCAACTTTGCCAAAGTCCGATGGTTTGAAACAACGAGGGATTCCAAAATGCGTCAGGCTTGAAAGAACTTTCTTCCAAGTTCTCCATCTTTCCGCGATGTCTGGTGGAAGCTCATCATCCCAGTTATACTTCAATGTACATAGCTCTTGGTTGACCTCTCTGCCAGGAAGAAGCAGCGGACTGGCGAACCCAAGTGGATCGTATACTGTGGCAATCGATGAGAGCACACCCTTCCGAGATCCACTTCGTTAAATTGAATCCTCCTAGGTTTAACATTCTTTGGATTTCCTTTGAAACTGCTATAGCTTTATCATTACTAGCGAACGATTTCAACAGGTCATCGACGTAGAAATCCCTTAAAAGCAGCTTCGACAGCATGTCTAGAAAATTTACTCTCGTTGTCTAGCGCTGTCTTCCTTAGAGCATAGCCACACACTGGGAGAGGATGTCGCGCCTAATAAGTGAACCAGCATCTGATAAGTCACCGGTTTTCTCATCATGTCTCCTTTAGGCCACCAGTGATAGCACAATGCACCACTGTCTTCAGGTGCTACATACACCTGGTGGAACATCCTCTTTATATCAACTGCTACTTCGTCAACTCTAAATCTTAGAATAACTCTGAGTAAAGTGCTCGTGTTCATCGGCCCTTGCAACAATTCATCATTCAAGGATGTTCCTCCACTCTTTGAGGCACAATCAAATACTATTCTGGGCTCTTTTGGCTTCAACTGTTTGAAAACTGTGTGATGTGGGAGATACCAAATGGGATTTAACATACTGAGCTGTTGATTGGTTACTTGCCTTGAAGATCTCTCCTCTTCATATTTTCCCAGGACCTTTGTATATTGTTCCTTAAGCTCCATTTCAACCACTCCAATCTTTTTTCTGCTACAGTTCAACTTTCAGGCAATACCATCTCGGCTTTACTAAAGGGCAGCTTCATTTGGTAATGTCCATTCACAAGCTTTACTGAATCATCCATGATCTGCTTCGCTTTCAGGTCTTCAACAGACATTTTACGTTCAGTGCTGGATATATTACCGTTGAATTCAGCATTGTACAAACGTTCCAGCTGGGAACTTATCTCCACCTCATGCTCACTCCGGGTGAAGTTAATCGAGGCTTCTTTATGGAATGAACTTCCCATTGGCCCACATACCGTCCATCCCAGTGGGGTTCTTACTGCTACAAGTTCACCTCTTCCATGTTTGCTTTCCAATATCTGTTCCACTATTTCTGAGCAATCGCATCCAATAAGGAGAGTTACTTTCTTTACATCAACCTCTGGTAACTCCACACCCACTAAATGAGGCCATTTCTTAAGCTCTTTGTTGGATGCAAAATGTCTTGGTGCAACTGGTATATTGTCAACTGTCAGCACATGATCAATTGTGAAGTCTGCGGATCCATCTAGGGCTTGAACCTGCAACTGCACGTCACTGGCCGTCCTCTTTCCTTTGTAATTTGCTGTCATCATTGTAAATTCAACCGGTCTTCCTTCTAGGAATAACTCTTCGGCAAGGCTACTTAAACACAAGCTGGTATCTGATCCGCTGTCGAGAAAGGCATAGGTTATAAGTTCCTTTGGGCTTCTGCTGCCACAAACTCTCACAGGTATAACCTTGAAACAAACTCTAGGATGCCTCGCATTGACCACTCCAACTGTCACTTGTGCATCTTCACTCATTGCATTTGTATGTTTCGTCACATTACCGGGTGATGGAGGTTGAGAGCATTCCGCGCCCAATTTACCATCATAATCCTCTTTAGCTTCCTCCTTGCTTTCTGTTTCAGGTGGGTGCATCAAATCATGCTGTTCTCGGCCGCAATCCTTTTTCCTGCAAATAAATCTTCTTTTGCACGACCTTGCAAAGTGCCCTCCTTCAAGGCATCTTCTACACAATTTCTTTCGTGAGACAACTTTCAACTTTTCTGGATACGAAGAAGTCTTGAACGTTTCGCACTTCCAAATTGCATGACTTCCAGAACACATGGAACAAGGTGGATAAGTTGCAGGACTGCCGCTTCTTGTTATCCGACTCTTGTAATCTTACATGTTACCTTGGTTAGCGAAGGTGCTAATCTCATCGCCTTTTGATCAGTTGGGATATCTCTTCTTTGTTTCATCTTGTCTTTTCTGAGCCATGGAGCTAAGTTCATCTCCAAACACATTATTTAAGCGATCTCCAGCCTTCTCAACGAAATCTCCAAATTTTACTTGTGCTCTAGATATTATGAAATCGCCGGCTTTGTCAGCCTACCTTCTCTTCAGATTCTGGTTTGGCAGCTTATTCATTAACATTTTTAATGTATCTTCATTATCCAAACGATAAACATAATGTTGACCCAAGCTGGTAAGTGTTCTTCTAACATCATCTAATTTCCTGGCAAATTCCATGAGATTAGGAACGTCTGCTCTTCTTAACTGAATATCCTTTAATTTGTTCATGTTTGCATTCATTATCATATGTGGTTGACCAAAATTCTTACGTAATGTATCCAACGCTGTGGCATACAGCTGGTGGACTGGTAAACTCACACAACTTTTAATTGCTTCGTTTTCCTTTCCTTCACAGCATGAAGTCTGAGTCAGCCTCTGAGAACTATCTTGTAGTTGGCTTTCAATGTTATCACAAAAGTTTGTCATGAATTCAGCATATTCGGCTGGATCACCAATGAATTTCATCAGCTGGACTCTGGGTAGAGATGGTCCTGTTTAAGTGTCTCCGCTAAAGTCACCCAAGGATCGATAATAGGCTTTGGTACTTGGTAGTGCGACGATTGAGGGGAATAAGCCAAGTTGGTGGAACATACGACTGATAGACTGAGGAAGGCACTGGCTGATAAACATATGTTGGTTGCGGTTGGTGGTTACTTGCAAGGGTATTACAAGCAGAGCGGAATAGTGGAACTGGTACTCAGGACACAGGAATTAACCAGGGGTTGGGTGTTCCGTTTGGTGGAAGCCAAATCGTAAACTGGAGGGTTTCTATTCTGATCAATGTTACTGCTAGTGGGACATTCGATACCACCGACTGCAATGGTATTATGTTGGCCAGAGGTTTCAGCTGTCTTGGTAGTGGAACTTGTACCTTGAGTAGGCGACGTGGTATTCTGGTCAGCAGATATAATGTTCAGTTCTGATTTCTTAGACTCTCTAGGTAAATAAACGCCAGTGTCTTGAGCAACACTATGCTGTATTTCTTGTTCGCTTTCGTTGTCAAAATCTTCTGTTTCTATCTTGAGGTTTGTCTCACCCAACTTAAGATCGGTCTCGACATCCAAAAGCTGAAGTTTCCTCGCACTTTCGGCCTTCCTCAATGACATTTCTCTCTCTAATTCTAGTTTCCTTCTTTCTATTTCATACTGTTCCTCTTCTATCTGGCGTTCAATCCTTTGCTTATCTTCAAGAGCTTGAACTTTTAACTTCGCTTCTTCTCTTTGTCTAAGTCTTTCCTTAACACTGCTTTGTCTACTTAATGCAGTACTAGCATAACTTCTATGGCTATTAGTCCTCCTACTTATGGCGGATCTAGCACTTGACAATCTTCTCTCTTCATTCTTCCTATCATATCTGTTCATACAGCCTTTATACCATATGTTAACTCTTTTAAAGCACGGCCATTAAACTTAGTATGTGCACGTACTAAGTCTGTTTTATTCATATCTTCGGTTCAGTAAACGTTATGTAGATGAAAATACCACCATTCGATTCAGTGTAAAAATATATACTAGTTTATAATGATAGTTTTAGTCAATGGCTACATTGTAGCGATTTATAAGCTTTGAAAGTCAAACGGGCTTATATATGATCAAATTATGCAATATTACTAACAAATTATAAACATAGACATACCTTTCACCGAACATAACTTCGGCCCCTTGAGACGTATGCTCATTCTTGTATTCTTGATGAATGAAGCAGTTAAAAATAACACGTATAGTGTTATTTTCAAGCTTCTATCTTTAAAACGTGAGTGTTCTTGGCGAATTTTGCATTTCTGCCCGAATTTGCGTTAATCCCAAACCGGAAATACAACGAAAAACCGTCAAAACAATGCGTAGTTTGTATCGCGTGACTCTGGAAATGCCAGAAATGGATTCTACAGGTCAAAGTGCACGCGTGAGTTTGATGTCATCCCGGCTAAAGGGAGCTCCTTATTGGCCAAGTATTACGTAATACAAGCGCGTGCGAGTAAAACCCGATACCTTGAAAAATTCAAAATAAATATTTCTACTCGCCGTATTCATACGAAACTTTCTACACTAAAGCGCTTGAATACAAAGAGTATTTTGCACATATATCCTTTCAGAAAGTGATGCCAAATTTTAGAATATATTCAACTTTTTCTCTTTTTCCCATTTGAATGTTTGGCGAAGCCATGAGTATAAATATATGATTGTTTTGGTTTGTGTAATGTTTTGACGGCACTTGACCCCCTCCCCCCGTTCGAAAGGTTATATTGTGAGGATTTCAATGGTGGCATTTATTTAAAAGGGGGGTAAATACTCGCCGAGATATTTATATTAGAAAAATTGTATCGAAATGTAATACGAAACCGGTTGTCGAGAAAGAGTTAATGTCTTTCTGATTATTATATATGTCTATAGCAATGGCTGCTTTATCTTCGTCGACTTCACACTCTAGATATTTCTCATACGAATCCAAAAACTTTTTAAATGCAGTCTCATAATCGCTCACGGCTTGCTCAACAACGGCAGAATCTGTTTCATTAGCCAGAGCATCTTCTAATTTTTGAGTTTTCTGTTTTACATCGGCCAAATGTCCGGCCTTACGTAATTTGAGATCCCTAGCATGTTCAGATATTACCTTGATCTAAAGTTCTGCTTACTATCCTGGATCTCGACCTTGTATTTGAAGATATACTTTCCTTGCCAACAGCTTCCTCATTCTGTGACGACATCCTAATTTTTATTTTTTAACTTCATTTATGAAAGAAAAAGACTTGAATGATACTTAACTGGTCATACATCTATGCTGTTCTCTCTAGAGTTTAGGTAAGGACCTTATCAGTTTGTTGTTACTGCAGATAAAATTTGTAAAATTCCGGCATAAAGCAGTTTTTGACGGGCCTTTTTTGCTACTAGTGGTCGATCACAAATAGACAATTAATAGCGTGTAGACAATTAATAGTGTGTAGCCAATCAGATCACAGAATTTGTAATAGACCGCTGGTTGGTTATTTAGTTTATACCACTCAAATGAACACAGAAAAAAATCACTACAGGAGTACATGCAAGTCAGTCCTAAGTTAGAATATTGAGGACCTGTTCATATGATCTCGGTTACCAGGGGCACCCTAACCCCGGGGCTGTTCTGAGCAAGGCAAAATAACATTGACATTATAGCAGCTCAAACGCAAGTGTTTAGTATGGAAAGTTCCATCTCGGCTAGTGGGTGACCCTGGCAGTAGGGTCACTCTGTTTACGAAAGAGGGTCACCCATTGAACTCTAAAGGTAACCTGGAGGAGGGGACAAAACTTGTCCATGCAGTAAACAGTTTGCCTCGGCTTCCAGGGACAACTTTCAGACCTAGGCATGTGCAATAGGACAAAAACGGAGTATTTTCCCATGTTAGGTTTTTGTCATTTTATCATATAAACTACGTATCCAAGACCACATAAACAGTGCCTAAGCTACCTGAATGTCACAGCAGTCAACTGTACTTCGATAGCACAATACCATTCATTTACATGTAATGATAGCACAATAAACACAAACAATAAAAAACAAACAATGAAACAAACAAAAAAAACAAATGAAAATAAATAAACGTTATGTTTATGGTATATGACCAATTAAGAGGCAGTCCGTGTAAAAACCGACCACTTGAATTTCTTAAGATTACAGATTTCCTTCAAACTTTCTGTGTGGAAGAAGTCAGTCATAAAATGAACAAAAAACGTTGACTTTGAGATTGTAGTCAGTTTTAAAAAATTTTTCGAAATTATTTTCGGACGCGTTCGAAAACAAGTTAAAACGTTAATTACGCAAGTGATATTTGAGCTTTTTTATATCTCACAGTTCATCTTGCGCTTTTATTCTAACTTCTTGAAACTTACATATTTTATTATTTCCTGCCTAGGCATAAACCTAAACTAAAAATTATGCTGGTCACTTGAAGCAAAGAAAATATTGTGTATTTTTAAAAACGTCTTTCAGACAGTGGATTAAATATTTGTGTTAGTATGCTGGCGGTAAATTATTTTTTCTCAAAAGTGCAACGTGTCTCATTTTTTCTCAAAAGTGCAAAGTGCAAAAGTGCAACGTTTAGTGTCTCTTTCTTATAAGAGATTTATATTTCAACCAGAAAAACTTACTAACTTGTACATGTGTTACTGAAGTACAATAATCAATATGGCCGACTTCTACGATCCATATTTATACTTAACTATCCATACTAATCTATTATGCATATATTAACTGTACATTATCACTAAACACTATATCCCTTTTTTTCTTCTAATTTTTTTATAATTAAAAATGTTAAGTGTATCTAACTGTTAAGTGTGTCTAACTGTTCGCAAAAGACAATGTTTTAGAACAATTATTTTTAACTTCTAATTGATAATCTTAATGTCTAATATATACTGTTTGTACTTATCGTTACGATGCCTCTTCATAAATCAAGTCTCTCTGGAGCTCTTCCTTTTGTACTTCTGGATGAACGTCTTGGTTCAGCAACGACCAACGATTTATCTATCACTTGTTCATTAGTGTCCGGTTCTTTGAAATGTTCCGACTCGTCAATATGTTCATTTCCCGATGGTAAATCTGATTCTTCAAATTTTCTAACGTGTGAAGAATTGCGTTTGTAGCAAACACCTTCACCTGATTTGATTGTCACTTGTGAACCATTCACGTCAACAATCTCGTAAGGATCATGTTCATACATAGTTGTTGTCTTACACGTTTTACGCTGCTGTAGTAGAACTTTATCATTAACTTTGAGGTCAGGATATTTTGCATTCTTCTTGTCATCCGCATATTCCTTTCCTTTCTGTTTGAGAACTGCATCCCTATCACGTACTTCTTCATCACATTTATCAAAAGGAACCAATTCAGGTATCTTTGTGCGAAGACGTCTCTTGAATAACATCTCATCTGGGGCTTTTCCAGTAGTCCCATGAGGTGTTGTACGATACGCTGTTAGGAATTTATTAAGTTCCTCCTCTAAATTTCCTCCTTGCGCATAAGAAATTTTAATTACTTTGTTTAAATTTCTCATCTGTCTTTCGATTTCAGCATTTGCTTGTGGCCATAATGGAGTTATACGGCGATGATAAATTCCATTTTTCTCACAAAACTCCTCAAACTCAGAAGACACAAATTGTGGACCGTTATCAGACGTTAACTCACATGGTAATCCATGAGTAAGAAACATTCGATCTAAAGACTGAACAATCTTTGACGATGTAATAGATTTCAGAATATCTATTTCAATCCATCTACTATAATAATCGATTATTGCTAGAATGTAAATATTATTGTTTATTGGACCAAGTAAATCACAAGCAATTATTTCCCATGGAGATTCTGGTAAACGTGTTCTTACCATTGGTTCTGGACGAGAAGGTAATTGCACCACCTGACATCCATGACATGTACGACATTCTTTTTCTGCCTCCTTATCAATATTTGGCCACCAAACTTTACTTCTTAAACGCTGTTTGGTCTTAACGATTCCTTGATGTCCCTCATGTGCCAAATTCAGGACCTTCTTCTGTAATATCTTCGGAATCACTAGGCGTGTACCACGAATTACTAACTTTCCCAAAACACTAAGTTCTTGTCTGACAGATCTATATGCTACATCTACCGATTCCCATTGATCATCAGTCAATATACAAGATCTAACCTTGGAAAGTTCTGGATCCTTGTCTGACTCTTTCTCCACTTCTTGAATTGTGATGGCATTTGGAACTGCATTCTTTGCCACAAAACGTATATAATCTTCTGCATCATCGGTACTAGGGCTTGTGTTCATGGTCAATCTGGACAGTGCGTCAGCAATATTCTGCGCTCCAGGTCTATACGTGACTGTAAAATCATACGACTGTAAACGTAGTACCCATCTTTGTATCCTGGCTGGTGGCGTTGAATTCTTTGAATAAATGACTTCCAAAGGCTTATGATCAGTGATCAATTCAAACTTACTCCCATAGAGATAAACATGAAATCTTTCGCACGCCCAAACTAAACCGAGAGCCTCTTTCTCAGTCTGGCTATAT